TATAAGAATATAGAAGGTGACAATAAATGAAAAACTATTGTAAATATCACATATTTTATTAATAACACTTCAAAAGGTCACAATTCACGGCTGATCGAGTATGTTAAACCATCACGACAGGCAGGTATTTCAAAACTAATGAACTTTGCGCCGGAAAATTCAATGTGTAGTAAAGCATCACTTATATAGTTATTTTCAATACAATTTTTTAAAATCAACTTTTGAAAAAGAAAAAGTATTATATAATAATTATATTTTTGCTGTTATTCAGTAAAAATATAAAGGCTCTCTCTCTCTCTCTCTCTCTTTCTTTCTCTCCCTCCCTCCCTCCTCACATTTTCTCTCTTTCTCTCCCTTTTCCTTCCCTCTTCTCTCCCTTCATCTCATACACTCATAAAATTAAAATTTTGTACGTAGAGAAAAAATGAAATTGAAGATGCATATTATAAATATTATATATTCGACACATACGCACCAAAAGACACTCTCACATGCACAGACACGAAAACACGCGTTTTCATACACACTTTAAAAATGTCGTTTCTATAAACGGTAGTGATAAATAAACCCCAAGATATGTTTTATTATAGTCGCTGGTTGTCAAATTAAATAGTATCACTTAGAATAACCCGGGTAAATAAGGCACCTTGCGTGTTGTTAGATCATTTCCTATTTATTGTTTTATAAATCTACTCTACTGTATATGGAATAACAGTATCAATATTGTAACTTTCATGTCGACTTCCATAAATACACGGTCAGTGTTTTGTTTTCGGCCAGAAAAAAAAAACATTGGACCGGCAGTATATCTTCTTGAAGGAGATTGGAAAGACAGCGAGGGCCAATCAAGACTTCTCTATTGGCAAATGGGGTCGTATTGTTGTTTGTCTGATCTAACAATAAACCCTCCTGAGTACGGCCCTGACGTAATGGCTTAGGTCACGGGCCTTAATTATTGATATAGGGTGATTTTGCGTCGTTCCCTTGATGTCTTTTACCCGCCATTGATTAATGAGCAAAAACCTTTAAACACTTAACTTTTTTTTAACATATTCAACATTGTCTGTTTAAAAATTAACTTTAAATTGTTAAGTATTTAAATCTGTAGTTTACCATTCAACTATGTTCGATTATTGTCGAACCTTTTGATTTTATTCTGTTAATTTTTGTCATAATACTCCAATTTCCCTTCAATATTTCTAGCTGAAAATAAAAAAAATAATTTTCGACACACAATATGCGTATGTGTCGAATATATAATATTTATAATATGCATCTTCAATTTCATTTTTTCTCTACGTATAAAATTTTATATTTAATTAAAAGAAAAAATAATCTAATGTAACAAAGATTTAAAAACAGCCGGTAAAATTACTTAACGTTGGCATTGTAGCGACTTTATAAATAAACCTCTTATATAAACTTATTTTCAGTTAGAAATAAAAATTCCCAATTTGTTTTTGCATTTATAAAAGTCTTTTAAGAAACGCTTCATACTGCTCCGTATTTGGAAAATAAGACGAGAAATAGACATAACAGTTTTTTTTTCAAAATCCCCACGAAGAAAGGTATAAGGTGTAAACCACTAAATATTTTTTATATTTAGTGGATTGACACTACAGTTCAGTTGAAATTTTTATTGAAGAAGTTTATAAAACAGAATAGGAGATATAAATAGATAGAAAATATATATTGATATAAGAATATAGAATGTAACAATAAGAGAAAAACAATTGTAAATATCGCATTTTTATTAAAACTATTGAAAACTCCACAATTCACGGCTAATCAACTATGTTAAACCATCACGACAGGCAGGTGTTTCAAAACTAATGTACTGTGCGCCGGAAAATTCAAAATGTAGTAAAGCATCACTTATATAGTCATGTTCAATTTTTAAAAAAATCAAATTTTGAAAAAGAAAAAGTAATATATTTAATTAAACTATTAATTATAATAATTATATTTTTTTGCTTTTATTCAGTGAAAATATAAAGTCTCACTCACTCACTCTCGTTCTTCTCTATCCCGTTCTTTCATTTTCGTTCTCTAACTTACTATTTTCCACTCAAAATTAAAATATTGAAGGAGTTGAACGAGATGACAACAGAATACCGTGGTTGAAAGGTCAGTTCAAATTTTCGTTGAAGGACTATTATAAAAACAGAATAGGAGTTATAAATAGATAGAAAATATATATTGATATAAGAATATAGAATGTAACAATAAGTGAAAAAACGTTTAAATGTCAAATTTTTAGTAATAACTCACTCTCTCTCTCTCTCTCTCTCATTCTAATTCTCACACTCACTTTCATTTACTACTTTTCACCCGAAATCAAAATATTAAAGGAGTGAAACGAAATGAGTGTAGCAAAACAGTATTTAAATTCACTTGAAATTTTCGTTGAAGGAGTATTATAAAAACAGAATAGGAAAAATATATAGATATAGGAATATAGAAGGTAACAACAAGTGAAAAAAAATTAAAAATCACATTTTTATTAATAATTGTTTAAAAGTCCACAATTCACGGCTGATCGAGTATGTTAAACCATCACGACAGGCAGGTGTTTCAAAACTAATAAACTGTGCGCCGTAAAATTCAGTGTATAGTAAAGTATCACTTATATAGTTATTTTCAATTTTTTTAAATCAAATTTTGAAAAAGGAAAAGGATAATATATATATATATANTATATATATATTAATTATAATAATTTATTTTTGTTTTTATTTGGTGAATACCAAAAGTCTCTCTCTTTCTCTCTCTTTCTCTATCTCTAATTCTTTCTCTATCCCATTCTTTCATTTTCACTCTTTATCTTCTTATTTTCCACCCAAAATTAAAATATTGAAGGACTTGAACGAGGAGAGTTCAACAGAACGCCGTAGATAAACAACATCAGTTCAAATTTTCGTTGAAGGGCTATTGTAAAAACAGAATAGGATATATAAAAAGATAGAAAACACATAGATATAAGAATGTGTAAGGTACAATAAGCGAAAAACAATTGTAAATATGTCGTATTTGATTAATAACGCTTTAAAAGGTCGCAGTTCACGGCTGATCGACTATGTTAAACCATCACGACAGGCAGGTGTTCCAAAACTAATGAACTGTGCGCCGGGATACTCAATCAATAGTAAAGCATCACTTTTACAGTTATTTTCAATTTTTCCGGTTCCAGAATATATGTGAATAAAACTTTCAATCAAACTTATAGACAGTAGAAATCTGAAAATAATGTTTTCCATATTTATATTTTGTTTTGTTTTGTTAAAAACTTTCTTTGATATTTAATCAAATTATACAATAAATCATTAATTTTCTTGGGTGTGGGCTGCTGATTGGAGAAATCTGGCAAAAGAGATGGAAACAGATTTTTTCTAAGCCGGAACGAAATGCTCTCCCTCGTCAATTTCAGTCCATTATTGGTCGATGGAGGAAAAAATCTATTGTGCTAAAATTGGAAAGGTTCTCAGAATACACCTCCATAAGAGGCTTAACCACCAAGTGAGACGTACTTAACAATCAAGTTTGCTAATACTAAAATCTTTCAGATATACATTGGATTATAAAGTTAGAGAATTCGTGAACCTTCGTCATAAGCCCTAAGACCCTGTCAGTAATAATGTATACTTTGTAATTATCAGTTCATCACAATAGATAAAAGTTTAAGTGTTAAAGCGACAAGTCCTTACTCAATGTGAGAGAAAAATGAATTATTTTATGAACGAATGCATTCCACTTTTCTTGTCTTGATCGCATTTTAATCCTTTTAATTTAATCATTTTAATTCTTTCTCCACAAAGTTATGATGTTATTTGATATAACGATAACTGACTTTTCTTTGTCCTTGTTGTTAGTCTCTTTGTATCTCAGGGCCGTGTCAATTGTGAATAAAATAACAAATATAACAAAAACATATTAGTCTGGTTCAATTTGATCTACCTCACCATTCACACTGTCCCAGAATGATCAATATTGATCTGGGTAATTGGAAATAAACTTCTCCATTAATGCTAATAAATTACACACACATTTATACTCGCCCAAATACCTCATATTCCTTGGGGCAATGGGGAATAAGTCCCTCCATTCACACTAATAAATACATTCATTTTAATAAATAACACATATCATATACACGAAGGTACAAATAAACATATATTTATAATAATACAATTTAACATATTTATAGCAATGAAATATTTGATCAGCTATCTGCTGCCGTGCCCCATGGCCGTGCATAAGTCATTCAGGATGTTGTATTTCTTTCTTTGCAGACTTAGTTCTTTCTTGACATAAGAATCACTTACATGGTCTCACTCTCATTAAAAGGAGTATATGTGTGATCTTAATATGACATATGTACAACTTCGTAATAATAACCTTTCTAGACCCAGCCTCCGCAAACCAGGGTCCGATTTTCTTTTTTAATTTTGTATAATTTAATCATATTTCTTTCTGTCCAGCTTTTTCTCGATTCATTTTATATTGCATTGGCAATCATTCTTTTTAAATTTGCTGGACGTACCGAGAGGGTGGGGTCGTGGCTTATTTTGCTGCCTTGTCTGCTTGTCGTTCCTGGTTATTCCAAAATGCCAGAATAGCCTGCCAGTTAGACATTTTTATTGTTATATCATACAAAATGTTTTTTGTTAAGCTACAATACCAATGTTTTGTAATCGGAAAAAAAAATACAATTTAGATCATTTCAATTTGGTAAAAAAAGAAAACATAATGCAATATTATTTTGTGTCATTTATTTTGTTGGAATGCAATTATTTTAAATACATAAGATATATATAGCAACCATTTAATGGTATATTTATTTATAAAATAACACACAAAATTATCAAATAAAAAAATCGTTAGTTTTAATCTTGAAGCATTAACTTATAAGTTAAGAATAAATCATGTATCAAAGTAATTACATTGGTAAAAAGATATGATTATTTAAAAAAATAATAAAAAATAGACATAACAGCTATTAATTTTGTTTTTATAAATATAAAACTCTCCCTATTTTGCTAATCTGTTTCGCTACATTTTGGTGGAATTAAAAACGGTGTATTCTACAACTTCTTTTGTGCAGTTTCATCATGTAAAATGGAAGAATTTTATAAAATATAATTATTTTTTGTGTAAATTATTGTTTCCAATTATTTGTCAGCATTACATAGATAAAAGTAAAGGCAACGTGTTTCTTGTCTTTCTTTCTTTCTTTCTTCTTATTTTTTTTATTACCATGAAGCTCAACATAAGTCAACTTAATATCAATTTTTCTGTATACTTTACTTTTCAAACATACTATTCTAATGTTGACTTGTTAATATAAATCACAGCCTTTGTTAACAAAAAAATACAATTACACTATTCTCAATCAAAAATTAAAATTAAAAATAAATTAGTAAATATAGTTTAGACAATTTTTATTATATTTTTGATTATTGATAAACTGCACCTACTTATGATATGCATTAACATAATTATCGTGATTGAATAGTAAAATCTTTTAATATAAAGCACCATATATAGATCCAAATTCCTTTGAATATTGTTTACTCTTTTATTGAAAATCAGACTGTTTTGATCATCGATATGCTTAATGGGGTCATTATTTTTTTAATTATTATATTGACAATTTTACTTTTGATTATTGGTTGCTTAAAACAGTAAAATTGTCCTGTTTTTCTTACTGATAATTGTTTGCTGTCAGTATCATTATTTTATTGTGACTGCTTACAATATACCAATACAAAGGAATTCAGTATGCTTTAACATTAACTATTTACATAAGCATTAACTTTTTCATTGTTAAACTTGTGATCAAAGTGAAAAGTAATTGTTGCAAATTTGTGAAATTGATTCGTTTTAATGGTGGTTGAAAAAGAATGGCATATTTGTGGCATATTGCAAGTTTCCAAAAATTCGACAGAAGACTGATTTATTCTCATTTATTCAATTTTAAAGTTTTAATAATGGTTTGTTTAATAAATAATAATCATAAAATAATATTGTCGTCTATGTGCAGGTTTTTTTGATTCAGTCATTTATAAATCCGTACATAACTGCAAGTTTGTCGTAGAGTTTGGCCAGTTGGTGTTTCAAAGACGTGTGTGTTGCATGTGCTGTCAAAGATCTGACCGTTGGGAATACAGCTGGCAATAATGTTTTCAGGTGAGTATCGTCCAGCTGGCAAAGCAATTCAAGAGCAGAAACCAACATCTCAGCCCAAACGCCCATATGAGCTTCTCGATCCTTAAAAAAAAATCATAATAATCACCTTTTTTAACTATAACAAAGTTTACATACAATAAACTATAAAATATATTAGGAAGTGAAATATGGTGAGATACAGCTTTGAATATAACAGTGAATTGAATATAGCAAACAGTAACAACAAAAAAAATTAAACATTAAACAATAAATTGTGCTAAAAAAAAAAATATTTCATATATCCAATTGTTTTAAAATTATTCACACATACAACTTAAAAATTTCAAAACAAGTGCTGCAACTTAAGACAAATTTCTACTTAGACGTAAATTCAAGTTGAAACTGAACAATAAAAATAAAATAAAAAGAGAACAACCCATGGCTTCAAGCCTTTCATTTTTTATCTTATTTTTCTAGCATAAATAAGTGTTAAGTTAAACTTTGGGATGATTTGCAATTAATTTATGAAACTGAATTTATCATGAATAATTTTCTCTGTGTTTGTATTGCAGATGAAATACCATGCTGTGTTATTACAGTGCATGTTTGCTATTAAAAATCAAAAAATAATCATTACCACATAAAATTTAAGATATATTTTCTTCACCTAAAAGTTTAAAATAAAAATTTAATTTTATTATGGTTTAAATAACAAATCGATAAGAAAGTGAAGAATTTATTTTCTATGTGTATTTATAATCTTACCTTGCAGATACTTTCACTTTTTTGTTTTTCTATTTCATTTGCAAGGTCCCTTTTTTCCACATCGATTTTATCGGGAATTTCAATTTCTTCCTTCATGTCCACATCTTCCTCAGTAATATCAGTTTTGCTTTCTTCGGTGCCGTTCAGGTCTTCTTCGCTTTTTTCAAACGAACTCATCCTTGTTTCCGGCAACTCGTCCGTCTGTGCTATTATGAATGTAATCTTTTCATTTATGTTGTCCACTGCCGAGTGCATTCCGTCCTTATCGAGCAAAACGTCGACGTACGTGTCGCAAAGCTGTTCCAGGCTTTGGCGCAGCTTCGGCAGGAATTCTTTCATGTAATTGGCATCATCCGAAATGCCATAATTGTGAATGCAGAGATCAAAAAGAGTTATCAGATTTATTGTCCACGCAGCTCCCGCTTGTCTGTACAGATTCGCCGCTCTTTCCAACTGAGCGACCTTCTGGAGGAGAAATTTCAGTCCGGGTCGGGAATCAAACTCAACCGCCGTGTTGTACGAAAGCTCCAAACAAGACAGCAGTTTCTCAACCACTTCTTCAGGTAAAGATAATAAAATTCTATTTTCAGTCGAATTTGGTAAAACACCCGCTAAGCTAAAATTTAAAACAATTTATAAGCTTAACAAAATGAGAAAATATTACTTTATTACCTTGGAATTACATGTTGAGTTCCTTGCAGCAGAATAGTTCCGATGGTTTGGAGGAGCATTTGATGAGCTAGAAGTGCCACTAATAGGTTACATAATGGTACACAATCCTTTGTGACATTTGAATTAACATCTTCATAAATAAGCAGTACATAGCTTCTTTCATCTTCATCTTCATCATCACTCGAAGACATAGTGTAATCTTTCCGTTGGCTTTCTAAAAGCAGTACCTAAAAAAAGTTAGAAATTTATTTATGAAGGAACCAGTTTAGGATATAATTTTGATATTTTTCAATAATAAGCATATAAAAAATTTACCTTTTTTTAATGTACAGGACATTAAACCAAAATAAACTGAATCTACATCAAATAAATTGATAAAAAAATAATTTTTAGAATGAGAATGATATATCAATTGTAATAACCTGTTGGGCTAAATGCCTTAGACGTGCGTTTCTTTGAATTGTCGAGTCCTTCCTAGCTGCAACTTTAATGTGTGCTAAATCTCCGTAATATTGGTGCGAATTGTGACTGTAAGCAGCATTGAGTGTTATTAATGGTTTCAGCACAGAACTTGCTGCCTTTTCTACTCCAAATACTACATGAGTCCATTGTTCAATTGAAAGAACGTTATTGCTGGTTACCACTATATGCCTGTTAAAATATTTTTAAAAAATTTAGTCACCATTGAAGATATTATTATTAACTATATCATTCTACCGAAGACATGCACATCCTAGCCTGGCTACACTTTCAACCGGCACTGTAACGCATTCGACCATGGAAGATATCAAGCTTTTTAACATTATGGTCCCCCTTTCTACCATATTTTCATCTAAGACAATTTATAATAATTAGTTTACAATATTTTTTTTAAAATATTAATTGTGTATACTTTTTAAATGGATCAGGACTTTAACAACAAAATGGGTTGTCATTCCGCAAAACTGTTTAAAACTGCTGGTCTGACGATCCCACAAACTCAAGTTATGACTATTGTTAAGAAGCCACCTTTGAATCGAAGATATAATTATAAAAGTAACGCAGTAAATAGTGAAGTCTATGCCTGAAAAGTAAGCAATTGAATATATAAAAAGAAAAAAAAAAGCATTAAGCAAAATTTATTTTATTGAGGCGAAGATTTCCTCAATTTGTTATCGCTTTTTGTCAATTACCTGGTTTAATCATAGTATCAGATAGTATAGAAAATAGCGTATCTAGGATTAATGGTTGATAACTAATCGGGCATAAAGGAACAACAGACGATAAACCTTCTAAAAGTTCTGCCCAAACTGCCAGAGCACCACCATTGTCCGGTATCAATGGGAAATTTTCTTCTTGAACCCTTTCTATTAGCCTGTAAGCATTTTAAATATTTATATTTCACAATAATAGTTTTTAGAGTGATCTACCGTCTTGCAGTGTTGAATCTAGGACACGAAGCCATTGAGTGCATTAGGCAAAGGATGTGGCTGCATTTTTCGACAAAACTCAGTACACCTTTACAATCACCACCTTCTAGGTCTTCTTCAATGCCTGATTAAAAAAATTAGAAAGCTATAAATAAATTTGAATTTATTTTATTACAGCAAGTTTAGAAAAATTACAACTTACCATTTCCCCTCACATGTTTTACCAAACATAATATGAAGTCCATTGCTGCATTTGCAAATACCAAAGGGTTATCTGTATTTAAGAACACTTGGAAAACTTCTAATAAAGAATTGACGTGGTTCGTTGTGCTGACACCGCCAAGCGCTCTGAACAGTGGTCTCCAGCCTGATCTGATTTCGGCTTGGCTGCCCTCAACAAATTCGCAAATGCAGTTGACTACCTGTAATTTGAAAATATGTAATTGAACCCAAAGTTTGATCAAATTTTCAGAATACAAACTTGATCTTGTATGTCGGTGTCGCACAGCTCTAAGCAAAGTAAGTTTTCAAATGGTTTGAATAACGCTTCGTTGAAATGAAAATGTTCCAACTCGGAATTTTCATTAAGCAAGGTAATCATAACATCATGAATGCATGTAACGGCAAGCTTAGAAATTGTCGGATCCTTATGGCAAGAGGCCTGTAAAAGTAGTAAAAAAATAAAATTTCAAGTGTACAAACTAAATGAGAAATAATTCTCACATGCATGAGATGAGGCCCGATAGCGGACCACAATTTCATAATATGAATCAACGGTCTTCCTGATCTCGCTGCTTTTATTAACAACTGCGCCAGCCTACTTAGAAGAAGTGGAGGAGGTGGTGTTGAAGAATTTCCTTTTACGATTCCCCACCAGCTAAGCTTACTTCCTTCCTTTATGTTTGAACTCGACCTTAGCTGCCTCTCTGAGGCTGAACAAACAGCAGCACAAAAACTCAGCAGTGAGTTGAGTTTGAGTTTTACAGCTGCATCCTCAAAAAGCCTAAAAATACAAATTAAAAAAAAAAATAATAGTGCATTTTTATAAATATTTTTAATTACCTGTCTATATGTTGAGACAAAACACACACTACTTTCACTGACGTGGCAGGAGGAAGAGTAGATACGCCAGAAATATCTCCGACCAATGATGCCACATCGCTTTCCCTATTAAAGCATTTAATTAAAAAATGATCAAGTTGTGCAGAATTTAAAAGAACTCACATAACTGAAATGTTTTCTTGATTATCCAGATTTTTTCCGGTTAGTTTTGGTGTCGTTTTTATCGGCTGTGTGTAAGTTATCATATGTTCTAGTCTGTTAACATGTAGACAGCATCTAAACATAAAAAATGGAATAAAAAGGTTTTTATTAGAATAGCACAAAGAATGATAATAACTTTAAAACGTGTGGCCAAGATTGTGGCGCGTGGCTTGCGAGTTCCAAAGCCCTGCTGAGTAGAAGATCAAGGCTTAAAGCATGACTTGCTTGCAGGGTAGGCTTGTCGTCGTTTGTATTGCAGCAAGCATTGCTTAGAAGCGAGAAAACAACTCCACTCTTTCTCTGCAATCCTTTTTTACAAATTTTCCCGGTTAAAAAATAAATACAATAATTATTGTGTTTCTTGATTAAAAAAAAAAATTAATTCACCAGTCGAATTGCAAAGAAGTGCAGCATTGTGGAGAGCTTGTAAACTCAAGGGAACTGTCGTCTGGTCTCCTTTCACTCCTATCGTTAATATTGATAAAACCGAGTCCCAACAACATGTTAAAATCCTTCTAGCGAGTTTTAGACCTGTAACATTCTCTGAGTCAAAAAATGGCCTAATAAAAAATAAGAAAAGAAAATACCTGCTTGGTTTTCCGGTGTAATGTGTTGTCTTGAAGCCGCCTTTTCTAATTTAGCGCAATTAGAAAGCACTTCGCTCTCAAAATAAATTCCGCCTAAATCTAAATTTTTTTTACAAATTAGTTTTTAGAGTTGTAATTTATTCGTTAAAATAAAAAAATACCTGATAATAAGTTAAAAATGGATATATTTGTTTCACACCCAGCGCTTGTTAATAAATCAGTACATAAGATTTGCTGGTATACTTCGCACAACCATCGTGACGATAAGTAAACCAAAACTCCAATTTCTTCAACTTCGCTCACAAATTGTTCCTGGAAAAAACCGAAAAAAAATTATAGTTTGTTTTAAAATTAATAACTTGAGAAAATCGACACACCTCAGTCATGGGAATATCATCAGAAGTATGATTATAATAGCCGACATTGATCAGTTTGAGATTTAAGGACAGTGCTGAATATGTAGCTAGATAAATACCGTTAGCATTGACTATTGCCGATTCCAAGTCAGTATTTTTGACTTTTTTGTAGTAACATCCTAAATTTTAAAAAGTATATGCATTTTTATTTAAATTTGCTTTATTACCACAAATCTACTACCTTGACAGTAGTTTGATGCAAATTTTTGAATAGCGTCATCTATTTCAATTGAATACTTAAGCGGAAGCAAAGTTGGTAAAAATTCCCTCAGAGTCTCTATAAAATGTCTAGCGTTGTCTCTGTCGCAATCCCCTCTCTCCTTTGAATATACCTTAATAAAAAATATAAAAAAATCATTCAATTGATACTTGAATAAATTCAAACACAATATACTAAATAAATACCTTTTCTTTTTGTACTGTACCAAGATATTCGGGAAAGCCAATTTTTGGTGAAATCTCATTTTCCTCTGCCTTAAAGAAGTAAAAAAAATATGGTTTTTCTTTAAATATAAAAGCTGCATAAAAAAATAGCAGGTTTGTAAAATAATACTAACATCAGACAGGTTTGGAGCATCGTCAGTGTCGTTGGAACACTCACTGCTGTCTTCGCTTGTCCCGTCGCCCTCCTCTCTCTCTCCTTCTTCTAAATTTGACTTATCAGTGACTCCGACCGAATCCCTGTAAACTTTTGGAAGTCTGCAAAGCGTCTGATACGTTAAAGGCCCTTTGGAGACATAACGAAAATCATTAACTTGGCTTCAAATTTTTGAGATTTAAAAAAAGTCCTAGCCGTACCTTTATAATCGCAAGATGCCAAATTGGGATAGAGAGAGTTAATTTTAGAAACATAAACGTGATTTATGGCCTGGCCATTTGATATTACAAGAAGAGTCGATAGTAAAGTTTCTACACAGGATACAGTTACAGTTATAAGCAATGCGTCCTTACTTTCACTGCATTCTTGTAAAGAATCCATTACTCTGAAAGAAAAAAAAATCAAAAATAAACCAAATATGTTGATTAACTAGGAAAATGCATATTTACAATCTTGTTAAAGCCATATCACTTTGCTGACACCCTTTGTCATCTTTTACAAGAAGAGGTCCTGCAAAATCCACCAACCTACTTGGACTCCTCAGCAGCTAAATTATAACAAAAACCTAATATTTATCTAGTTATACAATAATACAATAAACTTTTAAAAAAATACGAACCTCAGTTAATGCTTTCAATGAATCCAGTCTGTGATTTGTCTTCGGATACAAGAGCATTCGATGGTAAACGGATTCAAGAACAGGCCGTAGAGATCCGACACACCCGACTAATCGCACAAGCTGTCCTGCGATGCTGTAAAAGTTGTTTGTGTTAAATATTTTACCATAAGATAAAATTCCTTTTTTAGCATATACCTATAAATTATTTTATGCTGGGGTAGTACATCAACAGGTTGAACCCTTGTAAATGTTATATTATTGTTTCTCGGTGGTGCCATTAAACCGATAAGAACCGGGCATAGTTTTTGCCATAAAAACTTTGTAAAATGCGAGTTGCTGTGAATCCTTTGTGGGAGGCTAGAAACGACCGTGTGCAAACCTTCAAGGAGAAGTAGAACCGGTGCATTCTGCCCACTGAAAATAATAATAATTGCTAAAATGTACCAGACATCATATAACGTGTGAGTTTATATAAAAATACATGGCGTTTTTTTGTGCTAGGTATGCTGCTTTTTTGATAAAACTAAGTACGATTCCAAAGGTAATTTTTCATATAGAATCTGCCGGTGCTATTAGAATTTCAATAAGTTCGATCACTTAGTTAAGCTGACTGATACCAGAAACTTCAAAATTCATCTTTTTTTCTTTTTTTTTTAGAAGTTTTCTTTCAGAACCCGATAATTTCAATTTATTGTGTAACTGATTGCTATTTTTTAAAAGTAGATTTTAAAAAAGCAAATCAAATTAAATTTTCATATTTTATTCCATTAAACATCCTCTTTCCTTTTTTAATTTCATTTTTTGAAAATGTCAATATTTTCAGAAGAAATTGATGATTTTTTCCACACATTTTGAAGTACTTTCCATATCCAGAAAAATAGTAATAATAATAATGTTAGGGCGTGAAATGACCTTAGCCGTTAAAACGCCCTTAAAAATTAATAATCATAATAACAATAAATACTAGAAACTCAAAAATTCATCGATTCGTTTGGGAGATTAGGACAAATTGTAATGATCGAGTTCAGAAGGAAAACTTAAATATCTCCAGAACTAATCAATGAATTTTTGAAGATGGATTTTTTCAGACATTTTAAAAGTTCTTTTCAATCTTAAAATAAATAAAAAAATAACCAGAAGCTCAAAAAATCATCAATTGGTTCGGGAGATGTAGACAAATTGTAATGATTGAGTTCTGAAGGAAAACTTCAATATCTCCAGAACTATCATAGAATTTTTGAAGATGGATTCTTTTCCATTCATTTTTAAAGTTCTTTCCATTCTTAAAAAACAATAATAATACCAGAAACTAAAAAATTCATCACTTCATCTAGGGGATTGACACAAATTGCAATGTCAAGTGTCAAAAATAAATAAATAAATAAAAAAGATACCAGACTCAAATGAGGACTCACTCAAAAATTCATTGTTTCGTTCTGGAGGTATTGAAGTTTTCCTTTAGAAGTTGATAATTTCAATTTATCGTGTAACTGATTGTTGTTGTTTAAAGTTAGGTTTTGACAAATTAAAATTTTCATATTAACAAATCAACTTATGTCAACTTATTAAAATTCAATTAAATATTTTGTTTCCTTTTTTAACCAGTTACACCCAGAGAAATTTTGCATATGAATTTTTTCCCATATTTTGAATGTCCAGTCCATTCTAAAAAAGAAATACCAGAAACTCAAAAATTCATTGAACTGAAGTTATCCTTCAGAATTCTGCAATTTCAATTTATCGTGTAACTGATTGTTGTTGTTTAAAATTAGGTTTTCACAAATTAAAATTTTCATAACATATCAATTTATATCAACTTATTAAAATTCAATTAAATGTTTTATTTTTCCTTTTTTAACCAGTTACACCCAGAGAAATTTTGCATATGAATTTTTTCCCATATTTTGAATGTCCAGTCCATTCTAAAAAAGAGATACCAAATTCATTGAACTGAAGTTATCTTTCAGAATTCTGCAATTTCAATTTATCGTGTAACTGATTGTTGTTGTTGGTTAAATAAATAAACAAATCATATTTTATTAAATTAAATTTTTAAATTTCTCTTTTTTTATCCAGTTATACAATAAATTGAACTGTGTTTTGAAGAGAAACAATCTCCAGAATGATAAATATTTGAGTTATTTTGTTTTTAAATAAAAAAGACTTTCATAAATGTATGAAAAAAATAGAATATTACATTTGCAAAAAAAGTGATCACCAGGTCAGCTGAACGAGTGAACTTATTAAAATTCTAATTGCATCGTCATATTCTACATGAAAGATTACCTTTGGAATATTAATTTTACAATAAACTAAGCCATGAAAAATAAAAGGCCATGTCTTATAAAAATTCACAAAATATAGCAAAACATTTAAAACATACTTTTGAGCTTCGTCTAATTTACTGCATAGATATTGTAAAATAGGGATTAGCTCATTGAAACAATCAATTCCACCACTTCCGACTTCGTGCATCTTATTGTCTTTTGCCTCAAGAGACTCGACATCTGGAAGAATACAAATAGGTAAAATATGTTATTAAGTTGTAAACTCTTTTGCATACTTACCAAGTAGGTGACAGAATGAACGTAACGTTTGATTAGCAGCTGCTTGAGAGGCGGTTTTGACTGCTTCGGTTCCATATTCATAAACTTCGCAACAAACCGCCAGCATTTGTATGATAATTCGTCCATTTACAGTCCAGTACGACGAACAGGCTATGTTCAAAAGGACCTACGAGAGAGAGAAAGACGATATAGACATTTTTTAATTTATGTTTAAGGAAAAATTCGAGACGTACTTTCAATATGTCAACTTGAGTGTCATCAGATTGGGATAAAATGGAAGAAACTGCATGGAGAAATTGTGCTGGCAGCCACAAAGAATCGTCCTCCGGTTCAAAGTTCGTTTGGAATCTGTCATCTCTCAATATACGCTTTAATGTAATACAATAATTACAAAATAGCCTTTTTTCATCATGGGACTTCATTATTTTATAATTCAATGAGTGACTTATATATTAGCGTGAATAATAATTATTATAGTGTACCTAATTAAATTTGCTGTATATTTTTTAAATAAGTTTACAATAATAATTAAAAAAACAATAATTTAAATTAGTTTATAATTATTTATTTTTTTTATAACTGTTTAATATAATCTCAACAAATTATAACCTGAATATAACTAAAAATGGTTAATTACTGATTAAAAGAAGTTGGCTTCTTTACGACCTTGCACATCACGACCAACATTGGTCTACTAAACAATTCAACTAGGCAGTACTAGAAGTATTGAGCTTTTTTTAATATAATAACATGTAGAAGGTAAAAATAAGAATAGTAGCTCAATTTATATTTGACACAAACTAAGTTAAAAATAATTCTGTAAATTAATGAGGTATGATCATTTTTGGTACAAAAGTAGTTGTATTAAAAATACATAAATTAAATATGTTAACTACCATAAAAAAAGTGGACTTGTTAAAATTTGCAAATTAACATCTTGTCTATTTCAGGTGTTTTAACAGCTTAACACTATGAGCATAATTTAAAATTGATTGATTATGTGTAATAATACAATTTAGATATTATAGTGGGTTAAATTTTAAATATATATATTTTTTAATAACTACTTCATACAAACTCATTTATAAATTAATAATTTAAAATGAGAAGTATACAATACATGCAGATAGTTATTCTTTATTATAGTAAATCAAACATGATTCATGCGAGGTAAGGCTTGGGAGTTGAGGGAGGAAATAAAATCAACAAAAATGTATTTTTTTATAGAAAGAGAAATTAAAATGAAGTTGTAGAGTGAAGCAGTAAAATAAGTTGTTTCGACGTATTGTATATTAGGTTTACAATACAATTACTTGAAAGTATAAAGTTAAACTTGGTCTATTTCACACAGTCTATCAAGCTGAAACACTTGCTAGAGTTGGCGCTGGTTTTGGTCTGAGAATCTAGGGTTGATATTGACTCAATATTCCATCAGCTCTCACACATTACACATTCACACTAATAAATACATACATTCTCAATAAACAAACAGAAACACAAGATGAGATATCTACAAAGTAATATGTACAGTAAAAGCGGTTGTTTCCTCTAAAAGTTGGAACATAGGACTCAGGTATTACACACTTGCTGCTGTGGTCGAGCACACATTCACGCTAATAAATACATTTAGTTTCAATAAACAGAAAATTAGATGTTTGTAACAGTTGAGAGTGAAAACAACACAGTGAACAGTTTTAAAAATTGCAACATGGTATACCCAGATATTTGCTGCTGTGGTCAAGCACCATTTTTGGGTGACACTCCTACCCGCTCTCTATAAGGAGCCAAGGAAATAAAAATCCCTTTAATTAAGTGGGACATATTGAGCATCTTCTTTACATCCAGAACACAATCGAGGTATTTGGCTCAAAATTATGTGGCCAATAATAAATCTCTAGATCCAAATCCATTCCCAGTCTCACTCACTCTTATATTCTTTCCTATTTACATACCATTCACTCGGTTGAAATATTTAGTATTTTGCCACCAGCTTACTCATTTTACACATTCATGCTAATAAATACATTCAGTCTCAATACACGTAAAACGAGATGTCTATAAATTAGTATAGACAGTAAAACCAGTCCTGCTACCTCTAAAAATTGGACCAGAGGACCCAGATACTTGCTGCTGTGGTCGAGCACAATTTTCGGGTGGCACTCCTGCATGCTCTCTATACGGAGCCAAGGAATGGCACCCATCAATTAAGTGAGGCATATTGAGCAATCTTTCTTTATATCCAGAACACAATCATGGATTTGGCCCAAAACTAAATGTCCAATAATACATTTCTAGATCCAAATCCATTCCCAGTCTCACTCACTCTTAAATGCATTCTTTCCTATTTACATCCTTCCCTCAGTTACGGTGGTACTCAATATTCTGCCATTAGCCCTCTCACTCTACACCTTCACACTAATAAATACATTTAGTCTCAATACACAAAAGAGATATCTGTATGTCATATATCTATATATATTATAATTAACCTAAACTAACCTGGGGTTGATCAGGTTACACATTCACACTAATAAATACATTCTCAATATACACAAAGAAACACAAGATGAGATATCTACAAAATATTATGTGCAATAACTTAACCATAGTCAATAGTACTCTAACCATCCCTAATATTATGGTACAGTAAAAGCAGTCCTGTTTCTTCTGAAAGTTTAAATGGGGGACCTACATACTTACTGCTGTGGTCAAGCACAGTTTTCGGGTGGCACTCCTATGTGTCTTTATAAGGAGCCAAGGAATTGCACCCTACAATTAAGTGGGACATATTGTGCATCTTTCTTTACATCCTGAACACATCGTGGTCTTTGGCCCAAAATGAAGTGTCCAATAATAAATCTCTAGATTCAAATCCATTCCCAGTCTCACTCACGCTTACATCCTTCCCTATTTACATACCACTCACTCAGTTAAAATATTCATTTAACCACTAGCTCACTCTACCCATTCACGCTAATAAATACATTCAGTTTCACTAAACAGAAAATTATATGTCTGTAAAGTAATACAGAGAGTAAAAACAACCGTTTCTTTTAAAAATTGTAACACGGTACCCAGATACATGCTGTGTTGGTCAAACACCATTTTTGGGTGACACTCCTACACACTCTCTATAAGGAGCCTAGGACAGCTGTTAATTATTTGAGACATATTGTGCACCTTTCTTTACATCCTGAGCACAATTGTCGTCTTTGGCCCAAAACCAAGTGTCTAATTATGCTAATAAATACATTCAGTCTCAATAAACACAAAATTAGATGTCTGTAAAGTAGTATGGAGAGTAAAAACAACCATTTCTTTTAAAAATTGCAACACGGTACCCAGATACTTGCTGCTGGGGTCAAGCACCATTTTTGGGTGACACTCATACACGCTCTCTATAGGGAGCCAAGGAATGGCACCGTTCAATTAAGTGGGACATATTGTGCAACTTTCTTTACATCCTGAGCACAATCATCGTCTTTGGCCCAAAACTAAATGTCCAATTATGCTAATAAATATTTTCAGACTCAATTAACACAAAATTAGATGTCTGTAAACTAATATGGAGAGTAAAAACAACCGTTTTTTTTTATTGCAACACGGAACGCATGTACTTGTTGCTGTGGTCAAGCACCATTTTTGCGTGACACCCCTACATGCTCTCTATAGGGAGCCAGTGAATGGCACCCTTTAATTAACTGGAAAAGTGAACACGAATTATACAAATTCTTTATACGTTTAACATGCAGCTGTAGATTATATACTATGGCTAATCAATACATAAAAAAAGCAATGCAGAGTAAGGTAGAGGTTTGAAGGAAAAACAAAATAAAGCAATAAATCAACAAAAATAAATTTATTTTTCTATAGAAACAATAATGCAAGTAAGCTTTGGGGGTGAAGCAGTAAAACAGGTAGTTCATGATATTCTTAGGTCTTCGTCAGAGAGGACTCACGTGAAAGCCTGAGAGTGCGTAAGAGACGAACTTGCTCTTTTTCGTCTCCAGAGCCATTTGGAAGACGTTGAAGCATTTCGCTCTCAACTCGTGGGCCGGGTCACGCAAAAGGCTCTGCTGCGACTGAAGCAAATCTTAAAAACGAAACAAAATATTAATTTATCCGGGATTTTAAACGATAAATTCGATACCGTATGCGAGCTGAGCCGAACTTTTCAAGCTGGCGAGCTTGTTGGAACATTCGTTGATTATTTGCAGTAAAAGGTCCTCCATATTTTTCCAACGGAGATCTCGTTTATACGAAACAATCTGAATAAAGAACGCTGGACATTTTTTATATTTTGTTTGGAACGTAAAAACGGCAGGAAAACCCGACGACCTGTTTGACAGCACCGGGCCACCCCGTTCGCCGTTGTGTAGAACTTGGTACTTGCGTCAAAGTAGACATGAATCAAATTCAATAATACTGAGACAGTGGCGCTCTTACTCACTTGGCTCAACTCAGCAGAGCGTGGGGAATCCGCCGTGACTCATTATTGTTTGAATTATCCATTGCCAGGAAAAACCTAGAATCATTGATCTTGTACATCCAAACAAAAATCCTCATTTTCCTTCAAAATAAAAGTTTCCCTTGAGTTTATACCATTTATACTAAGATATACCGTTATATAATTATTTTACACAAGAAAAAACATAAAAGAATACAAAGGGTGATGTATTTATATACAAACATTCATTAACATGATACAAAGTAATAAAGATAATAGACAATTTCAGTAGAACACAACTATCACACAAATTTGTACTATAAATAGTCTGTACTCGAAAAATAAAAATAAATAAAAACACTGGTATAATGTACTCAAAAATAAAAATATTAGAAACTCGAGTTTTGTTGTTTATTTCAAACTATGTGTATTGTTATTATCCCTAACCATCCCTAAACCAAATTAAATTAGATCAGATATTTGAGTTTTAATAAAACAACAAAAGAAAAAATAGTTATTTTAATCTAAACAAAATTAAATTAGATCAGATATTTGAGTTTTAATAAAACAACAAAAGAAAAAATAGTTATTTTAATCTAAACCAAATTACATTAGATCAGATATTCGAGTTTTAATCAAACAAAAAAAAATAAAATAAAACAGTTATTTTAATGTAAACCAAATTAAACGATCAGAAATTTGTTTTAATGAAACATAACGACAAAAAAAAAAGAAGTTATTTTAATCTAAACCAAATTAAATTAGATCAGATATTCGAGTTTTAATAAAACATAACAAAAAATAAAACAATTATTTTAATATAAACCAAATTAAATTAGATCAGAAATTCAAGTTTTAATAAAACCAAAAAATGAAACACTTATTTACATGTAAGCCAAATTAAACAAGATCAGAAATTCTAGAGTATTAACAAAACAAAAATATGAAACATACATATTTTAATGTAAAGCAAACTAAAAGAGATCATTAATTCAAGAGATTTAACAAACATAAATATGAAACATACTTATTTTAACGTCGGGAAAGATTCGAAGTCATTTTCTATCCAACAACCATCGACTGATAATCCCATCACCACAATACAAGCATCACAATTATAATTCAACAGTCATCAAAAGTTACATACTTATTTTAATGTAAACGAAACTAAAAAAGATCAGAAATTCATGTTTTAATAAAATATACTTATTTAAATGTAAACTAAATTAAACGAGATCAGAAATTCAAGAATTTTAATAAAACAACAAAAATAAAACAATTATTTTAATGTAAACCAAATTAAAAGAGATCAGAAATTTTCAAGTTTTAATAAAACGTATTTATTTTAATGTAAACCATTTAATTAATTATTAAATTTAATTATTAGATTTAATGTAAATCATTTATTATAGTTTGAAAGAAAATTCACCAAAACACTGAAAATAATTTGTCATAGATTAAAATTTCACTAACAATGTATTAAATTTAAATTGATTCTATAGCCAAATGATTTTCCATACTTTTGGTGAATTAAATGGCGAAACATTTTTATTAAGATTTACTTATTTTAATTTAAACCAAATTAAAAAAGATCTGAAATTCATGAGTTTTAATGATAAATGTAAATTTAATAAATTGGCTTGTTAAATTTTAATTTCTCACTGGATGATTATTCTGGTATTTTTTGATGAATTTTCCTTCAAACCATCATTAATTTATTTTTTTAAACATGTATTTCTGATCTCGTTTAATTTGATTTACATTAAGATAAATATGTTTTAATAAAAAAATAGTTTTAATTTATTGAATTTTTGTTTCAAATCAAATTATTTTTATTAAAGCTATTTTCAATAAAAATACTTATTTGAACAACTAAATTAAACAAGATCAGAAATTTACGAGCTTTAGTAAAAAAATTAGATAATTATAAAGATTTGAAAGTAAATACACCAAAACACATGAAAATCATTTAGTGTTAGAATAAATTTAAAATTTAATAAATTATTAGTTAAATTTTACTCCTTCACTAAACATAGATTTTCTTTCAAACTGTCATAATTAAATAATTTTCATTGAAACTCATGAAATTAAATTAATATAATGATAAAAATACATATAGTTCAAAATAAACAACAAAATACGAGTGGCCGATTTTTGTTTTTGAATGTATAATTTTCCACCATCACCATAATCATATTGTCAGTATTAACAAATTCAATCCTCTTACAAACAAATCAAAAATAAAATGCTTGAAATACTTCATAATTCATCACTTAATTATATCTAAAACAAAAATTATACATTCTTCTCTACACAACAATGTACACTGAACGACACATGTAATTTATTTCATGATTGGTCATAAAATGGGATTATTCAAAAGCTTTATTACCAAAAAATAAATATGTAAATAAAACTAACTTGTTTTCTTAAATACCTACACTAGTTCAGTGTTTAAAACACTTCTAAAAAATATTGGACATCTTCACAAATATAATTAAAATTAATGACAATAAAATTATAGTAAAATATTTTTATCAAAAATACTTTTAGTATATATGATAAAAACTTTTTTTTTTTTTTTTAGATTTTCTTTGCCCTTATTTCATGTATAATACTTTTATTACATAGCCATATTTTATAAATTTTCTATCTATCACTTAAATATTTTCTTTTTAGTTTAAAAATATATAATTTTCTTTATTAAGTTTATTATATTTAATATATTTTAATAGATAATTCTTAATATTAAAAAAAATAAATAAATAAATAGGAAGTATAATATAGGAAATAATGTTTTGGGTTTAAGCAAAATAACAAAAATAAATTATTTATATTCCAGTCTTAATTTCTTTAACAATTCTATGAGCCTTGAAAGGCCATCTGTATAATTAGAATCTATGCTCTCTGCAGGTACAGCATGTGCAAAATCTATCATTCTTATTTTAATCCATGCGTTGCAATCTTGCGTGCTCTCTTTATTCATGGCCTCCAACCGGTGAGCGTCGTAGAAAAATAACAAAGAGCTAGAATACAGATGGACGACCTTCTGCAATCTCCACCATTCCAACATTTCCATCATTACGGGCAGGTACCTGTCTATCAGAAATCCCATGTGGCCGGAACTGTGATTCAGGAAATCTTTAAATACTGTGAAAAAAGAAAAAAAACCGACTGTGAGAAATAAATCCTATTCTATCTGTAAAAAAAAGGAAAATTTGTCAAAATCTACCTGTTGGAACTTCTTCCGGAGTTAAATTTTTCCCAAGCTCCTTGCTAAATATGGATATATTGTTTTTTGACAGATTATATACTTTGTAGCCAGGAATGCAGAAGCCATATGCTTGCTTTGTACTCATGTACTTCCTCTGAGGGGAAAAAATTGAAAATTGGATACATTACTTTTTTTAAATTAAATAATTTTCATGTTCATGCCACTTCAACCTTGAAATTTTACTTATTTTACCATCGTTCATAAATATTTTAACATGATAGATGGATATATATTTTTTTGATATTTAAATGCATTTTGAGGTGTCTCCAACTCCTCAATAATATTCTCAACAATTATATGTTGAAGCTCAAATAAATGTTAAAAAAAAGTTTAATAAAATCACCTAAACCACATAAAAATAAAAATTGGATGAAGAGACCCAAGAAATGTTTCAAGCTATTGTACCATCTTCAAAGACCAAATTGGCTAATTCATGCTTAGCGTTTGCTTCCTGTTGCAATCTCACTACAAAGTTAACCAGTCCCATGAGATTTTTTAAAAAAAAAGAGAGGAATTCACATAGAAAAAGAAATGTAGAATCCTAATGGTATCTTGACGAGGAAAGTGATATGATATATAGCACAATTTATAACTAAATTAGGACTTGTGTAACCAGTGCGCTAAATAAGCATTATGACAAACTGTTGAAAAATCTACAGAGGATACGTACATCTTCGGTTTGACGTTTGGTTTCAGACGCGTCTGGGGCCCAAGTCCGTGATCCAATCTTGACATCCATGACACAAGGTTTTACAGCACCGTTAGTCATATCTTCCAGCTTTAAGAACTTAATGTCTAAAAAACGTTCTGGTATAAAAAAAAAAAATTTATCTATGTCGAAAGCTCTCACCTTTATCATTGATGGTCAGATTCATTGTCCCTTTGAAACAAGGAGTGAACTTCCTCAGATCTCCCAAGATTCCAGTATCGCTATTGATTTTTTCGTAAAACTTCACCTCGCAAGAGCTTTGCGGTTCTTTGAGAAGCGGTTTTAATATGGAACCGTCCTCTGATTTCAAAACTCCTGTTTGTTTTTTCAAAAATATATATTTTTTAAATAAAATAAGATTATATTTTAAATAAAACAATAAAGGAAATGTGCAAAACTTACCTATCGGATTGGCATTATGACCGGCGACTTGATTTTCATAAGGGAACAATCCTTTAGGCAAGGATTTTTGGGCATTTCTATCCATAATCCATTTAATCCTTTTGGTTCATTTTGTCCCCATGGCTGAAAACCAAAACAACTTACACCGAGCCCACTGCCTAAGTTGTCAACAAGTTCAAACAGGTTCCATTCTTGTTGCATGGCATGACATGTTCCAACAACTCTTTTATCAATGATAACGTTAGACGTCATTGAAAGTCAAATTTCAAAAATTGTACTGTTTCAAATAAATTTGAATCCATTAAAAAATGTTAAAAGTATATTTTATCTGCCTTATTTAATTCATTATATCCAATAATCCATTGCCAGAAACTTCTAGAATCATTGAAGCTGGATTTCAAAAAAAAAAAAAAAATCTAATTTGCCTTCAAAATAAAAGTTTTCCTAGGCTTATAACATTCCTATTAAACTATGCCTTATATAATTATTTTACACAAAAAAGAAAAATGAAAGAACACAAGCGATGAGGTGTTTATATACAAACCTTCAATAACACAACACAAAGTAATCAAGATAATAGACTTCATAGAACACAACTATCATAAAATTTTGAACCATAAATGTTTTCCAGTTGATTTAACAAAATTATTTCCCCACACCATGAACATAAACATTGCTTATATTCATATCATAAGTCATAAATTCAAAGTGGAATTATTTCTTTCTTTCTTAAAATACCTTTCTCCTTCTTCTTGTCTTTTTATGTCAAAACTACTTCATAATTCAACTAATATTTATTTAAAACGAAATACATTAAACAGCACATGTAATTTCTTTCATGATTGGTCATAAAATATCATTAGGTAAAAGCAATTTTATCAAAAAATAAATACATAAATGAATAGAAGATAAGAGCTAAAGAAAAATACTTGAAAACGTTATGACAAAAATTCATAAATCTGCGATGGCTCATTTACTTCTTTGAATTATCCATTAACAGAAACACGTAGAATTATTGACCGATGTTTAGTTTATCTCTTTAAAATCAGCAGAGGTCTATTCTGAACTGAAACCGAATGTTTGTTAAAGCTTGATAGATGAGAGTGTATATGTGTTCTCAGGTGCACAGTGACCACCATATAGTCCTATCAATTCTCTGAGTTCTTAGCTCCTCAGGAACTTCAGCCTGTAATAAAGCCTGCCTTTTTTTTATGTCAAAACTACTTCATAATTCAACACTAATTGGACAGTCCTTGGTATTGTTGCGACTCAGTCAGTCTTTAAAGAAATTTGAAATCATTTGTGAAAAAATTATGTTATATGTGTATTTTAGTGATTGTTTGTTTGATAATTTGTTGAAGTCATGATGAGTGGTCAGGAATGAATTATTTTAGAAAAACATGACACCACAAGAATAGCACCACACTTTATAATAGTACAACTTGTTTCAAAATTTATATTTACATCTGTATTATATAACATCAACAAATGTTTTGCAATTCACCCAGGCTCTGAAGTTGAACTGAATAAAGGTCAAAACACCGGTGAAAATATAAAAAAGGTTTTTCTAAAATATTTCATTCCTGACTGCTCATCATGAAACAACAAATTAATTAGGTCAATTAGTAAACATATTTATGATTCTTTTGTCCTGATGATGACTTTTTTATAATTTAATTATTTTAATAGATAAGTGATCAACCTCAATGGGATATATTCTGTCTTAACACTCATCACTAAATTTTAGTATAGGGCGGCCGAGCAGCTAAAGCTTATCTAGATTTTGTGCAATAATCCAGAGGCTTGTAAGAAGGCGAACAGCTTATCTATATTCGAGGGTTTGTCCTTAAGAATCTCTGAGTTGTCTGGTAATCCCCAATTACTTGCTTACTATTACCAACTCACTACATATTTGCAAATAGGATTCTCCAGCCATCAGATACCCACAGGTGAGCCTGCAGTGCCCTATTCTCAGCCGAGTCAATATGGCTTCTTCCTGTTTTGTTGCCCGGCAAGTTGTGTTCTGCTGTACAACACTCGGCTTTATTTTCCCGAGTTTATTGTTATGTTTCAGTCCATGCTTTTTGCCATTGCTGCAAATATGTCGGTGGAGTGAAATACAAATGGACACCTTCCATGATGGCAAGTTTTGCGCAATGTCTGATGATAACTTAAAATATATTGAAAGTTTGGCAGTACAATTTTTTTTTTTCCGTCAGGACTACATGATCAGAGTATCCATGTAATTGATGTAGAAATTAATGTAACATAAACATTGGGTTAAATCAAGTATAAATTAAATTTAATTGTACATTTTGCATGAAACCAATATTTCAACTTTTATTTATTTTTTATTTATTTATTTGATTTTTATATTTTTAAACGAGGGTTCCCAACAGCAGAGGTTGTTGATGCTGATGCAGGGCCTCTGGATTCGAACCCGGGACCTTTACCTTACAGTGATGAGCGCCGTGTCAATGCTTAAACCGTTACGGCCACCGACGCCCCTGATCCAACTAACTGTTAAAATGTAAAAAAAATATTTTACATCCAGACTATTTTACAAAAGTTGGAGTCAAACAACTGTAAATGAGAAAAATGATTTCTTTTTTTCTTTTTATTTAAAAATTGTGTGGATTATTTTGACGTGACTGTTTTGTAAAATTCACTAGTTTTAGTGGTCCGCTTGACCAATTAATATATTTCAATTAATTAAGGTTTTTTTTTAGTTAAGATAAAAAAAGTGCTTTAAAATGCTGGATTCAAGACTTTTTTAGATATGCTTCAATGACGTAACTTTTATCGATGTGACCTTGAACTGCGCATTTCGTACTTTTGAGTAACCTTCTGACGTTAGTTTGTTCTATTTCTTCGTTGTTAAACACTTTACGGATTTTTATTTCTTCAGAAAATGTTGATTTTACAGTTTGACCTCTTGAGTGACAGGCAGCACTCAATATGCGTCGAAGACGCGAGCGTCGAGTGTCTTCGATCTTTGATATACGAGAAGTGTCGACTGAGAGAAGGAAGTTATTTCCTCAAGAGCGGAGGCAAGTTGGTGTCGGATGACAAAGACCTCGGAAGCATAGTTCAAGCCGTTCCGAAGTTATGCGGCGGCAAGGGTGGCTTCGGATCTATGCTCAGGGCCATCGGAGCCCAGATCGAGAAGACGACGAACCGAGAAGCTTGCAGGGACCTAAGCGGAAGGAGGCTCAGGGACATAAACGAGGAACAACGCCTCAAAAAGTGGATCGCCCAGCAGTCCGACAGGGAACGAGAAGTCGAACAGAAAAAGAAGAAGAAGCTGGAGAAACTCTGCAGGGAGCCGAAGCACGAGTTCAAAGACGAAGACTACGACGCCGAACGCGCCGACCTCACGGAAAAGATCAGCGACGCTTTGGAACAAGGTTTCAAGGCCACCACCGTAGACAAAGGTGTCAAAAGGAAAATAGAAAAAGAAGTTACAAAAAAGAAGAAAAAAATAATCCTCGACTTGGAAGACGATATGAGTTCAACCGACGACGATGAGTCTTTACCAATGGCAAGCGAACCGCCAACGAACAAGAAGCATGCATTATTGATCAGCGATGATGAATCTAATTCCAGTGCTGATTCCACAGAAAAAAACCATAAAGAAAGTCAAATACTAAAAAAAGAGAAAACCCCGCCAGACAATAAAAATTTGCCAACCTTGACCGATGATGAATCAAGCTCAAGTGTTGATTCAGCCCAAAAAACTTTTTCAGCAAGACAAGCTTAAATACATTTAAAGACTATCCTGATGAACAATTCCATCTCTTCAAGTGAAGATATCAAAATTTAATTTATAATCTTTGGGGGGGGGGTTGTATTTTATTGAGTTAACTAATCGTAGTTATCATGGTTAAATCAATTAATTTTGTCAATTGAATTATGTTTTTGTTTAAATGATACCAAAACTATTGTAAATATATTTTTGATATTGGCAAATAAATTATCACAGCACGTACAATTTTTTTAAATATCATTCCTTCTTTACTTTGGGTGCCATGCCTACTCGGCGTGACACTTCTCGACCATGTGTGACATACAGAGACTTTTCTCTGCAAGTGGGTCATCTGTGCAGTTTGCCCCAAAAGCAGGTGTCAGTCAGGAATGGCCTATCCTCAAATGGGCGAGCACACTTCCTCGCATTTCAGAACCTTGGTGGGCTATCTCTTGTATTCGGACAATCTGGCTCATTGAGACTGACAATGTTTTTGTATTGTGTTCTTTATTGCTTGTACAGCAGACCCGATCGCGACGGTTTTGTCCGGTGGCAAGATGTTCCAGCTTTTGCTGCTTCGTCTGGACGTTTGTTGCCCTTTAGATCGTATCCAAGTACCCAGACAACCACGTTAGCACACATTTTGTTTTTGTATATCATTCCTTCTTTATGTTGGGTGCCATGCCTACTTGCTCCTCTTGACCAAGGTGTGACACACACAGAGACCTTTCTCTGCAAGTGGGTCACCTGTGTAGTTTGCCCCAAAAGCAGGTGTCAGTCGGGAATGGCCTATCCTCAAATGGGCGAGCACACTTCTTCGCATTTCAGAACCTTGATGGGCTATCGCTCATATTCGGACAATCTGCCCCATTGAGACTGCCAATGTTCTTGTATTGCTCATACAGCAGGCCTGATGGCAGCAGTTTTTTACATTGGGCAAGATGTTCCAGCTTTCACTGCTTTGTACGGATGTTCATTGCCCTCTAGACCAACATGTCCTGTAATAAAAAAAAATTGTTTTTATATCATTCCTTCATTGAGTGCCATGGCTACTCGCTCCCCTTGGGCCAAGGCATGACACTCCTCGACGATGTGTGACACAGTGCAAGTGGATCACCTGTGCAGAGTTTACCTCAAAAACCAGGTGTTGGTCGAGAAAGATCTATCCTCAAATGGGCGAGCATACTTCCTCTGTTTCAGAACCTCGGTGGGCTATTGCTCGTGTTCGAACAATCCCATTGAGAGCAAGTGTGAGGGGTATGAATGGTTACTATGTGTCTCTAATACTGAACTATGACTTTCTACCACGAATCCTTATGCGGGTGAACTTTTTTAATCAAATAGATGGAAAGAAAGGTACGGAGGGTACAGGAGCTGATCCTGTTACCTCCTAAACCCTACACCTTACCCCTCTTCCTAAACCCTACACCTTACCCCTCTCTCTACCCTAATCCCAATATAATCTCACAATCTGGCCCCAATCTAAGGTGATATACAGCCCGTGTTGACGGATGGATGTTGCAGGGAGTACTAATAACTTACCAGGTGACGCTTCATCACTTGGAGCTGACTTTTGGGCCAAAGCCAGCTTATGTGATTGGGCAAAGAGAAAGGTTCTGTTAAAGGTGAAAAGGTTAGTTGAGTGAATGTATCTATTAGTGTGAATGGTATGGTGGAATATTAAGTACCCATTGTCCCTCATTTAGATTAATTGCATCATACGTGTGTGTAAGGAATGTTGAAAACTCAAGTCCTCACCCTAATTGAGCGGTATGTAAACACAAAAGAATGTATTTAAGATTGAATGGGCATGCATATAGAAACTGATAATATTGGGGTTGAAATGATTAGCTTTTGATAGACCATGGTGCCAGTTCTTTTGCTGGACATATAAGATCGTCTGACCTCAGACTTCCAACACCCACAGTGGGTGATTCTTGAGGCCTGTTGGTACGACTGGTAAAATTAATCTTACTTGTTAGAGTCAAAGGAAACAACTCATATCAAGAAGATGACAGTAAACACATGGTACTTACTGGGGAAGGATTTATTTCCTTTGTAGTGTGTAATAAATTACCTTTTATCGATACTAGTATTCTTTACAGCCATTATTTTAATTATTTTTATATAGAATATGAAANCATTAGCTGTAATAGGAGCAGTAATAGTGGTGTAATACTCCATGATTGATAATTGCCAGAAGTCGATAGATCGAAAATTTTATGATCCAAAACCTACCTTGTTAATTTTTCCCCTCTGTTATAGTTTTGTTATTAATAACTGAAGAAATTTATTTACCCAGGATGGCTATAGAAGAAAAAATCTTTTTGAAAAAGAAGCAGTCCAGGATGATTCGAAACGTACTTTGCCAACCTTTTAGCATACCTTGGTAAGTTTTAATCTTATTTTCTAATAAATAATCACTGAAAAAACTAGATAAATTGTACGATTGGGGTTGAAATGATTAGCTATTGATAGACCATGGAGCCAGTTCATTGGCAGGACATATAAGACCATCTGACCTCAGACTTTCAACACCTACAGTGGGTGATTCTTGAGGCCTGGGAACTCAGGCGGTGCCCTATTATCATGATCAGGTTCATATATCTCAAGCTAGCTCTGAAGCTTGACGATGTCTGCATAAAAGTAGAATTTGGAGTCATAAGAATATTTCAATTATTTAAATTAATTTGTATAATAAAAATTATTATTTACAATACAGTATTATGTACATAATTAAAGATAAATTTAACTATCTGTCATTAGCATATGCACCGGTTTGTCCGATGCTACCATTCTAGTAGCCCTTTCTGTCCCTACTATACCGGCGACTTGAGATATATCAAATTTTGTGTAGATCACATTGATTGTCAGCTCGGTTTCTCCTTCTTCATTGCCTTTTTTTATATCCTGAAAAACAAAAATGTCACCCTCATAGAAAAAAAATTGACAATTTATCATTTTGAGAATTCACCTGCAAGAAGTTGCACATTTCGCTGTAAAACGACGGGAAAGAGGGAGGTTGATAAAAAATCAAATGCCTTATTCCCCTTAATTTAATTCTCCTATAAAAATGATATCTTTCGGTGTATAGCATAAACTGCGTCTTTCCGTGAAAAAACATGCTCCTTGCCCGAATAATCTTTTTTTTCTGTACACAATATAATCAATTACCGATCAATTTTATTATTCTTAATTTTTATCGTGTACAAACCTCGGTGTATTCACAGATGTGCACAAACTTCATTTCTTGCCTTTTAAAGTGATTCCTGAGCCTCACAAAATCAAAGTATGAAGGAATATATATAAGCGTGTGTTTCATAGACGCATCTTTGAACTGTGGGAGTATATCTGAAATAAAAGCTTCAAATCGATCGTCAACAGATTCAGTGACTGTTCTTGATTTTACATAATGAAAAATCTAATAAGAAAAAAAAGCCGTTAGTTAAATTAAATTGAATAATTTAGATTTTTTTTTATTACCTGAGGTACACTTAGAGCGACTTGGCTTATAGAACCTGACAATACAGGATTAGAAACGGCAATTTTACCATTGTAATTGTTACAGCGTATGTTATAAAGAGCGTTAATGACCGGAAGAGGGTTTGAAGAGAAAATTATGCTCTGCATGTAATATTTAGACCATCCGTTTAAAGCCCACATTCTTACTCTAGCCAGATCAGTCCCATGGGATTCTTTAGGCTGTAAATGAAGGTGATCTAAAAGATGGAGTAGATGTTCCCAATTCTAAAACAAAAGAGACAAAACATAATTCCTTGCGGGTTAATTTGAAGATAACTCTGTCATACTTGCATAAAAAACACTTGGGACTGGTCCATGATTAGCAACTCGATTGAAGAAAGAAAATCATAATCTCTATCCTTCTCGCCTTCAGCACCAATTAAAATTCTCAATCCGAGAGGCGAAGCAATGATTATGTCACTCTCATAAAAATTAGAGTACAACTGTAATTTGCCAATATTACAAAAATATCTCAAAATTTAAAAATTCTGCCGTAAGTATAGGCCACATTTATAAATAATAAAAATCCTCTATTTTGCATTATTAAATGCACTAAAAATCCCTCAAAAATGCCATGTCATTTGCATTAAAAAATTGAAAATACCCAGCATGAATTACAAACTTCCCAACCATAAATCCTCTTAGAGACCCATCAGCCTTTTTCGCACAATGACTCCTTTTAAAGCAACTAATACCCATTCATTTTCAGTTCATGCAAAGAAGACAGGCTAAATTCAAAAACCTATGCAAAGTCATGAAGGATATCTTCAACAAGAAAGTAGGAAAAGCCAAAAAAAAAGATACCCTCACATGGCAATGTGGTTGGACGGTCAACATGGAAAGGATCATGAAAGCTCAGACTTTGAGGGACATCTCGACAATGGGTAATGTGACCTCCATCAACACCCTCCCTGAGAAGGCCAAAGCTGTGAAAAACTTGGCCACCCACCTCGAGGAACCAGGCATCTAGGATTTACAGGATGATCAAACTCAGTCTGATGATCATGAATCCTCCTAGAGACTTATCAACCTTCTTACCACAATGCCCAAAATCCTTAAATGACTCCTTTTAAAGCAACTAATACCTAACCATAAAATAATTTCCGCACACCAATTTGGCTTCTATCCACATCATTTTACAGCCAAACAAGGTTTCAGAGTTATCAACGCTCTAGAAAAAAAAAGAGTTGGGGTGCGTTTCTAGATGTACCACAGGCTTTTGATAACCCAGGAAAGCTTTATAAACCTAAATTCTTACTACCCACTGCTTATTATCTTATTCTGAAATCCTCTCTAACCGACCACTGCTTCAGAGTGAGGTGCGGCAATGAACCTTGGAAATCAGACTGATACAAGCTGGTGTCCCACAAGGGAGCATTCTTAGGCCCATTCTTTATACCATCTATTGCCTATACACCATCAATGCGGATGATATTGCAATTTTGTCCTCTAAGTTGAATCATATCCAAGCTTCATCCGACATTCAAGAACACCTTGTCTTATTGAGGATTGGTGCAAAAAATAGAGGGCAAGACTGAATGAAGAAATTTGTACTCAGTTTATGTTCACATTGAAAAAACCTGTCCTTCACTGAGCATCAACACCAAACTGATATTGACTTTGATTCAAGTAAAATATTTAAGACTATACTTAGCAGACTGATGTGAAATCCCCACACAAGGCTTAAAAATTTGGACGACTATGAAGACTTGTAGGACTGAAATCTGTTTTGACCGTCAAAACTAAACTAACCTTTGAGAAGAGTACTGCGACAATTTTGGGCATATATATTCTTAATCAATTGCATGATGTATTTTTAATCAATTTTGTATTTTTATACCTTCAGACATTTCTTGGTGACAGTTATACCAATTTTGAAGTTGTCGTCTGTATTACCAGAGAACAGAAGTTGATAATCGATCGGCTTCGGATGTTTATCCGGCACGTCTGCCGCATTGTCAGAATATTCTTCGAGGAACCGTTTCCTGTTCATTACATTTCCAGTCTCACCTAGCAGTGTTTGTATCAACATTTTTAAAACTCTGAAATAATAATTAAAAATGATTATATTTGTAAATTTTACGAAAAAATTTTTTTGAAACCAACTTCAATGCAGAATCCCGGAATGGTAAGAGAATCAAAACTTTAGGCCTGACCAGCCCTTGATCTCTGAATTCTTCTGGTACATCTGGACGTTTAGACATTTTAGAATTGTGGTAGATTATTTTCAATCTAGATTTTAATACATGGTTTATTGCATGGATGCAATAAGCTAATCTTATTTCTTCAAGATTTTCTAAATTTTCCTCAGGATAATAGACATCCTGAAATCCAATACATAATTATAATTTTTAAGTATAAAGCTGAGTATATTATTTAAAAAAAACATACATGGTATGTAGCGAATAATGTTAATAACTCTTTTTGTAAGTCAGTTAGGCCTGAAGTTTCTTTTTCACAAGCTTGATTTAAATTCCTGATGGTCTGTGGTTTTATAAACAACTTATTCAAGTCAAATTCATCTTTTGATAAATTCGGCAGGGGCTGAGGCGAAGTAAATTCGTTCTCCTCTAATGCCAATTTATTTTCTGTTTTGACTTCTTGCGAACACGCAGGCTTATATATGATCATTTTTCCTAGTTTCGGCCAGTTACAATTACTTTTCTCGTAATTGGCTGGTTTTTCAGAGAGCAACGACAACAGCTGTGGGCTCAGATCATTTCTGACATGAAGAACAAATGGATCCTCCTGAAAATTACATAAAAATCTCAAAATACTGGAGAATAATAATTTAAAAACAACAAAAACAAACCTTTTGAAGCTCTTCTCCATCAAGCACATCTTCAACTATAACTTCATCATCCACTTGATCTTTGCCATCAGGATGGCTTGTTTTTAATATTTCCTTCTTATGTTCTAACTTGCGTTTCTTTTTCTCCAGCTTTTTTGCTGCAGAAGCCTCATCATTTTTTAATATATTGAGGTTCAGAATTTTTCTTTTTCTCGTTTGTCTTTCCATGAAGACCATTCAAAATATACACCTAAAAAATGTATCAAATAAAAATTAAATATCATAAATAAATAAATTTGCCTCCAGTCTTTAGGCAAAAGTAAAGTAATTTTTGTCATAAAAGAGGGATTAACGTCTGATTATCCATTGGGTGTTGCAGACGAAGGGTTAAACTACTTTACAAACATTGTATGTAATTATTCACTGTATTATTGTAATTACTCTGTATTATTTACAATTAAAAATCCAAGGGATTCGAACACAGGACCGCTAGAATAAGAGTTGAATGCCCTAATTACTTAGCATCTAGGGCCCCTTTCAGTCCTAAAGCATTTCTGAAACATTCTTGTACCCAGCTACTTCATCCTGTTATGAAGATGAAGGAATAAAATTGAACAGAACCATACAAAAATATTTCCAGATATTTTCTTTGTAGGTTGTAATTTTTAAAGTATTGGGTGGAATGTTGGACCCTAACCAGTAAGACTAAAACGCAGTTTATTGCGAATGCATTTTTTTCCCAATTCAGTTTCCCATTATCACTGGACAAAATTGAAACATACCAGATTTTTCAGGATAAAACAGTTTACAGTGATTGTGTGAGATTCGTGTTTGAAAATGATCAAATAATTGTTTTGGATGTTGATTGACCTGCCAGCAAATTAAGTTTGGGCGATGAGATCTACATATACCTCTAAAGATCTCATCACCCAACTTAATCATTGTATTACTCAGATGGGATCGGATTTGTAAGACCTCTGCTCTTGTGAACCTCTGAAAAAAAAAAGGCCTAAAACTTTATATTTGAATATAAACTTTTGAAAACTCGCCATTCCAACCACGAGCTATTGCAGCGGTTTCCAAACTTTTTCTGTTTCCAGCACCCTTAATATATCAGAATTTTTCTGCACCGCCCAAAGTAATAAAAAAAAAAAAAACAAAAAAACATTCTGTTTCAGTGTGAACTTTATGATAATAGTAATACTTCATTTTCAATTCAGAAAAGCACTGAGCACCTCTTATTTTGTCTGCAATTTTATTTAATAAATAATCAAAACTCTTGACTTTCTTGTGAAATTGAAAAACTTGCTTTTTGAAAAGCAATTTCGCAATTAGCAAAAATATAAAAACAAATACTTTTTTATCCGCATTTAAAACACACAATTGCAGCTATCTTGTTAACATCCATATTGAGATTGGATAGCCATCAGGGGTCTTAGCTTTAGGGTTTTATAAAGCGAAGTTTATTTTTTTTTTTAGTTTTTTAATAAATATAAAAATAATATTTTTATTGAAAATTTTTGTGGTTGTCGTGTAGCACAGGGACAGTTTGAGAATCACTGTGCTATCGGATAAACATTAGGCCGGACTCATTACATTAATTAGCACTGAGCAAAGCAGCAACTGAGGTTTGGCATTAACAAATTTTCTTTCCAAATAAATAGAGGAAATGGCACAAATAAGACTCAAGAAAGTCACAGAAGTTAGAGCTTTGGTCAATGTCAAACAACTCAATAGGAACATTTAAATTTATCCACCGCAAACTATAATGGGTTCTCCAGGAATTATCCAGATCTTCTCTGCATTCCTTGTCTATTTGGGCACCAAAGAAAAAAAAACTGGATTTGTTGGCGAACAAAACATGGTGCTAATCTTCAGCCTTTAATTTAAGAAATTGAAACCACTTAATATGTTGTTATGGCACGCTTTATTCAGCTAGCCTTCTTATGGTTTAGCTTAAGTTGGGATGCTTATAAGCATTAGGCCTAAAACTGACTGGCTTAGTCAAGACAGCATGAGGTTGCTGCAGGCTGTTTGAAGCAAACCAGGATGGCGTTTTAGTAAAGGTTCTAATTCTAAGGGTTCAGTCTGCTCCAGGCATAATGAGTCATTGCCTGTTGTTATTTTATGAACACAGGTTTGCTTCACATATGTCCAAGTGCCAAGCCTCTATCTTTCAAGCAATGACCAGCTGCTGCTATTGATAAGGTTTCAGACCCAATGATGCATTTTCTGCAGTCCCCGCCTTTAGTCGATGCCTCTCCAGTAGTACCTGATGTTTAGAGACTAGGGTATTCTCACGAAGCCTTCTGTTGACTGTTTTAAAGCTCACCCATTTGGAGTTGACTACTTATCAAAGAAATGACAGTTCTGTAGTGTGGCAAGAGCAATAAAACCATCGTTTTATAACTGTCATACATCGCGGTCGATCACTACCTTCACTCCGATCCGATGGCCCTAAACCGCTGTACACCACTGAGGATGGTAGGACAAAGCAAAACCAGGATTGGGCTATGTATATATATTATATATTACACAGGGCGGGCGACCAGGACCCGAGGGGTTAAAAGCCTGAGTAGGCCCGTACCCCATCCCTAAAAGGTCCGGGACCTGGTCAGCTCACGAGTCCTGCATAAACCTTTTGGACCTATTCACAAACCCCAGGATTGTGGACCATTTTATCCTGGGGAGTGTTTTGGTTATGTCCTCTCCTTCGAAAGTATTAAATCTTTCCCTAGCATACCTATCGCATTCTGCGAGGTAGTGTCGAGCCGTTTCTTCTTTTGTTTCGCAGAAGCGGCANTCCCTTGTTAATTTTTCCCCTCTGTTTATGTTTTTGTTATTTATAACTGAAGAAATTTACCCAGGATGGCTACAGAAGAAAAAGTCGTTTCGAAAAAGAAGCAGTCCAGGATGATTCGAAACGTACTTTGCCAACCGTTTAGTACACCTTGGTAATATTTAATCTTATTTTCTAATAATTAATCATTGAGAAAATTGAGATATTGTACGATTACCCACGAAAGTTGTAATAATGTTATGAGTACTAAAACCATATTCTCTTGTCCTGACCCTGACATTCCAATAAGAAATATTTTATTCTAATGTTGTGTAAACTGGCCTGTTCTTGCCTACCAAAAGTAACAAACCATATTCTCTTGTCCTGACCCTGACATTCCAATAAGAAATATTTTATTCTAATGTTGTGTAAACTGGCCTGTTCTTGCCTACCAAAAGTAACAAACCATATTCTCTTGTCCTGACCCTGACATTCCAATAAGAAATATTTTATTCTAATGTTGTGTAAACTGGCCTGTTCTTGCCTACCAAAAGTAACAATTTTAAGCAACATAAACCCCAAATCACTGTGTCTAATAAATTGTTTATTTAATAATCAGTGGGTGTGTGGGGACAGCGGGCTTATATGCGATGCCATGGGGCCGGTTTCTGATTGTTTTGAGCCCTGGATAATGAGAAGGACATGGACTTTTCCATAGCATTTTAAATGATGTAAATAGTTTTTACCCAAGCCATTCTGATAAGTAAACAGTAAGAAAAACTACACCTAGAAGTTAAGCGCCTAGTATCTGCTTCAGCAGCAGAACAGTTGGAGCTACCTGCCGCAGAACGGTAAGTTGTGGGCTGCCTCTGCATTTTGCCCTTAAAGTACATGGCAGATGTGATTTTCCCAAGGCAAAAAAAAAAAAAAAAATGGTATGAATATAAATTTGCAGAGGTTGATTAAACAAAAATAAACGTACAGAACATTACTTGACTTTTTTCAGCTTAAAGATAAGATTTGTTTTACCAAACGAGTAACAGGATAACAATCATATTTTTAATTAATTATTCAAAAGGAAAAGCTGTACATAACAAAATATTAGCATTTTCAAAAAATGACTTAATGAAAATATTCCTATGGATTATTGGCAACAGTTGTAATAATGGAGTAATTCTCCATAAAGGAATGTTAAATATGTATTCATTTTCATTTCACAAAAAGAAGACGGCTAAAGCGGAATATTTATAAAAGTACTCCATCTACCCCAATCTAGATTAGTTTGAGTATAGGTCGGTGGAGGAATATCAAGTACTCCACCGACCAAACGGAATGAGTGTACTGTATGTATGTATTTATGTGTATGAATATATTTATTTGTATGAATGTAGAAATGACCTAGATGTCAGAAGCCCCAGTCAAAAAAAAAAAGAAAAAAGACAAGGCTAAATTAAAAAACCAACGCAAAGTCGTGAAGGATATCCTCAAGAAGAAAGTAGAAATGTCATGAGCAACAGGCTTAAAGATACCTCGTGCTGTATCGTCACATGACAATACGGTTGGACAGCCAACATGGAAAGGATCATGACAGCTCAGGCTTTGAGGGACACCTTGACAATGGGCTACATGACTGCCAAGAAACACCTCAAGTTCAACACCAACCACCTGATTATTAACATCCTCCTTGAGAAGAAGCCGACAAGAACGACAAAGCCGTGAAAGACATGGCCATCTTCCTCGAGGAACCCCAGGTCCAAGCATCTAGGATTTACAGAATGATCAGACTCGGTCTTGGCATGCCTGCCGCTCAAGAGATCCCTGCCCTAGAATGGAAGAGGATTATTAAATTTCTTCGAGACTGATATCGAAAATTTATTCCAAAGCACTTTTTGTCTTAAATGTTAAATTGAAATTTATATGTTAATCGAGACGCGATCATTAATAAAATAAGAGAATCTTGACTTGAAGGTGGTCGAAGAATTTTGGTCAGCCTATTAATTGGGTTGTTTAGGCGGGCCCCAGCATTTTGGAGATTGGTAGAAGACAATAATCAGTAACAACCAAACTACAGGTTCATCAGCCACCAGAAATCTTACAATGTTATGATAGTTTAAGTTTTACGATCTGGCAGAAATTCAAAATAAAAACCTGTCATAGTTCCATTATGCGAGTGATTAACAATTTTGAATTTGGTGGGTATGTGAAATGAGATCGTAGAGGAAGTCATTACCAGTAGTAGTAAATGAAGAAAAAGCCCCTCGACTTCTTTCTATAGGCCATATAAAGACTAGAACTATTATAATTGGCCATGGTTCCCTGGTATGGTTTCACGAATGGGTCAGGAATAGCGGGGAGGTGGATGGGTAAAAAAAGTAAAAACAAAATAAAATAAATAAAAATAAAAATAAACAATTTCTTTGAAGTCAAAGCCCACCGTCAATTCAAGTACCAATTGGTTTTAAATAAATGGTGAAATATTTTTGTGTTTGTTCAATTGTTTATTTTTAAGGGGTTGTGCAACTGCCATATCCAGGGTGCCAGAAAGCTGACAAAAGCCCATCTGTATGTTGGGCCGATGAAATTGAATCCGGGATCCTTACAGTTAGTCACTGTGTCAACCCTTAACTGTCGTGGCCTCCGACATCTCTCTTTGTTCAATTGTTATTACCAATTTTAAGTTTTTTTCAAGCTCAGTTGTTACTTGTATATTTTGAATAAAAATTGTAAAACCTCTGACTTCACAAACAATTAACAACAATTTTCCATTTTTCAGGCCTAGGATTAACGAAGAAGAAGCACAACTGTTGGTTCCAACACTTAAAAGGTAATATTAATTTATTACTAATTTTTTAAAAAGTTTTTAAAAATAAAAAAAACATTTTTTAGTGCTTTGATTCCTATGAAAATTGAAAAGTTGAAAGCACCGTGGAAAGATCTACGTAAGCTAAAGAAAGAAGAAAGAAAGGAAAAGACAATTGCATTTTTAAATTCTCTTCCCAAAGAACAAAAGGAAATACGCAATGAAGCGCTCAAGTTGAGGTAATGTCTTTGAAAATTGTTTAAAATAATGATAAAACTGTATTTTTATAGCAGTAGTTTTATTTTATATTTCCCATAGAGATCTTCTATTCTTTGGAATCAATTCTGTTTCAAGAGGTGTTGAGAATAAATTAGTCCAATTTTCTGTAGTCGCCGATGAAGTCAACCCAAAAGTTCTGATTAAGCATTTAGTACAGCTTTTATACAATGCAGGAATACCAGTTTTGCTCGTTCCAAACCTGAAGACTGTAACAAATGATTCCATAGGATTTCCTTGTGCTGCAATCGGTTTCAAGGTAATTAATTTTGTTTTCCTTTTATTTTATCCTATTATTTTTTATTTATTTATTATAATTATATTTAGTATTGTAATCATTAATTTTTTAGAAAATGGAGGATAGCAACAAAAATAGGTTTTCAGAGTTGGAAAGTGAATTTATGAAATTATTTAATTCAAGAAGTTGTACAAATGTATTGAATGAAAATGCTAAGCTGGAGAGTAGCGATGATGAAGATGATATGCCCCAAGCAAAAATTAATAAATTTGATAGTGGAACAGAAAACGGCAGTCCTCATATCGAATCAATAATTAACAAAAACTGTGATGACCATAAACGAAAGAGTAGTACAAACCCTTCAAATTTAGAAGCAACAAAAAATATAAAAAGTGATATACCTACTGAAAGTACACCTGTCAATTATTCAACAAACAACACACATTATCTTCCTCCTGTGATAAAGAAGACACAGAGTAATCCATTTAAAAGGAGAAAAACAAGAAAATAAATTGATGGATTAGTATTTTAAAAATATTTAAAAATTTTTATAATCTGTTATATTTAATTAAAATAAATAACTTTTCTAACCAGAGGAATTATTTCTTTCTTATTTATCAATAAATTACGTAGTTCGGTAATTTCTGATCATTTTGGTCTGCTTCTTGCCATATTCTATGTTATATGTAGCTGATTATATTGTATGTTATATCAATTGTATCCTAAGATGTAATAATAAAAATTATAATTCAAACTTCAAAAGCTTTTCTAGAAAGAATGAAAATTTATGGCGATGGAGAATAGGAGGGTGCTGTTCCAAACTCATTCATATTCATTCACATTCACTCCTACTTACATACCGTTCATTCAATTAGGATAGTGGAGTACTCAATATTCCTCCATCACCATCTATAGATATTACAATGTTCCACCATCGACCCTCTCACTCACACACTAATACGCATATTCACACTATTAAGAACATTCACGCAAATAAATACATTCACTCTCAACACAAGCCAGGTGTACTCAACTATCATTACTATATACAATAGAAAAACCCAGTTTCCTTCAAGAAATGGAACAGGAGGCCCAAATATTTGCTGCCATGCTCACAATTCTCAAATTGGGTAACATCCTGTGCACTTTCTCAGTCTGGAGCCATGAAATTGCACCTTTCAATTGGTGGAATACATTGAGCAACCTTTCTTTGCATATATACATATCTTACCAATGCCGGGGGCTCAGTATGAGATATAAGGGGCAAGGAGGTCTCAAAGCCATCGTCGATTAAGGGTGGGTTGGGAATGTGTAGAGAGGGCTCGATCAGTATGGTTTGGATGGATTGAGAGCATAGTGTGCAACCTGGAATCGAGAACGAATCAATTCATTGACAAAAGGATTGTGAGGTCATTGTGGATAGTGATGTTAATAAGGAATTTTGACAATTTGTCTGAGGACTTTTGATTGGAACGATTGGATGATGGGTGGATCTGACAGAACTACTGGCATGGTTCTGATAGATGGCAGAAAAGTCTTTGACTCTGTTTGGCATAATGGTATAGTCATATGGAATATAGCTTCCCTCTGTACATAATAAAAACAGTCCGTCCACTCCTACTCTTATCCAGACAATTTCGAGTTTCATTTGGATCATCCTTTTCCCAACCGAGAGACATTGTTGCTGGTGTTCCTCAAGGCTCTATCCTTGGACCCATATAGATAGATGTAGATGTATTGGTCGGGGTGTAATCTACTGTGCCCTTTAAGAGATATTGTATCACCCGTTCTGTGCCTAAAGCACACCGGTGAGTTCTATTTCATCAAGGAACTTGATTAGTAGGCCTGGTTTCAGTAGTTGAATCTCTTCTACAGTCACATTGTACATCCCAAAGCACATTCTACTGCGGGAAAGTCTAGCACCACAGTTTGTTAATAGGTGTGTTGGTGTCTCCTCTGCCTCTTTGCAGAATCTTATTCCAATCTTCTTTGTGTCCATTTAGCTTGCAGTGTCCTGTTAAAAATCCTGTTAGGATTCGCAGTTTTTTCCTGCTTCCTTTGATACATTCTGTAACTTCTTTCCTTCCGAAATTTATTAGGAGATTCTTGGATTGTTTGTGTCCAATGAGTGAATTCCATTGTTCCTTCATTTTCTTTTTGTCCTTCTGTCTGAGAGATACTTACTTATTGATAGAGTGGGTTCTTATGCTCCAGAAGGGTTCGGGTCCAATCAGCAGTATAGCAGCTCCTTTCCTTGCAGGGGTGTCCGCTTTCTCATTGCCTTCTACTTCGATGTGTCCTGGAACCCAGTAGAGGTGACTTTGTTCTGCGTACCTAATATGTTTAATTTGGTTTGCAGTTCGCCACCATCTTTGAACTAATAATATTTGAGCTTAGTGCTTTGATGGCTGCTTGGCTATCTGACATATCTATGTTCTTGTTTTTGTACCCTTTAGTCAAGTTGAATTGAGTACATCTCTCAATTGCATGGACTTCAGCTTGGAAGATACCAGTGTGTTTTCCCATGGGTTCTGGGTATTTGGTTCCAGAACCGAATACTCCTACCCCTGTACCTTCTTGTGTACTAGATCCATTTGTGTACCAAAAGCTGGTGCCATTCTTAAAGGAGGTGCTTTCCTCTCATTCCCATTCTTTTTTGGTTATAGCGGTCCGGTGGAACACCGACGCCAAGCGCTCCTTGCAGGAAGTGTGTAAAAGGAAAAATAAAAAAGACCATCATCCCTAAGAAAGGGTAGTCACCAAATTGGTGACCCAGATGTGATTATGCTCCGGAAAACAAATTAGGGGCTGGGAGTAACTTCCTGGAAGGACACGCCACACAACACCATTGGTCTGCAGCTTTGAGTGGCTCGCGGGGGAGTTATGTAGTGGTCACTCAAAGCTGAAGACCAATGGTGTTGTGTGGTGTGTCCTTCCAGGAAGTTACATCTTCTATCTAGAAGAGTACTACTACTTCTACAACCCACCGTCCAAAGGCAACACAGCATAACAATAACATCTTCGCCAACACAAACTACCCATTTTGGTCGCTGAGTGCATCTTCCTGTTCAGTTCCGTGATGACGTTATTGGGGGGGCTATATAGCAGTCTGGTGGAAACACCGATGCCAAGCGCTCCTCGCAGGAAGTGTGTAAAAGGAAAAATAAAAAAGACCACCCCTAAGAAAGGGTAATCACTAAATGGTACTGGGGTTTATTTGGAAGTTTTGATTAAATTCAAACATCCTGTTCATGTCGTCTCTTGGAGCCATGAGTATCGGATGGTCCTTCATTATTTTGTTGCTGTCTCTCCATTTTAGTGTTACTCCTGTTGGAGATTTCTCTTTAATGACACTAATAATAGTTTTCTGTGCTGCCCTCATTATCATGTGATGTAGGGGGATTAATCCCAGTAGTTTTTCCATACCAACTGTGGGACATCTCATTATACAGATGCACGCAAGTCTATGTATTTTTGTGAGTTCTTTTCTTCTTGTTCTGCTTTATCCTTGTTCCTTTATCCTTCGACATTGTTGCTGGTGTTCCTCAAGGCTTTATCCTTGGACCCATTCTGTTCCTCCTATATTTTAACAAAATACATCACCCAAGAATGCAAAAATGGCTCTCTACATTGATGAGATCTCTACTCCTCTTCTTGGAGGATATATATACAATATTGAACATATGGCGCAATAACTTTCAGAAAGCTTAAACCATTGCTTTATGAAAAGATTCAATTTGAAGGTGTTGTCATGGTCTGAGTGGTCAAATATCTTGGGTGATAAACAAACTTTCACTCCCCATGTCAGTGATAAAATGAACAAGGGCAAAGTGGATATCCAAGTAGTTTTACTAACGTCGCCTGCCCATCCTCAGGCCTGACATGCAGGACTGTTGCCAGGCTGAAGGTTGTGCAGAACATGTTTCTGAGGCTTGTGACTGACCCTGATATACGTGTATATACATTCTGTTTTTACATACAGAGTACATTTTGCTTCATTCAGTCTTGCCCTCCACTTTCTGCATCAGTCTTCGATGTTGGACGTAGCTTGTGTAGGATTCAACTTAGAGGACAAAATTGCAATATGTAGTGATGATGGTGTTGGTATATTGGTAGTATAGATGATATAAAAAATGGGACCGCTCTGTTTTGGGATGCTGGCTTGTATCTTTCTGACTGAGAACGCATTGCCACACCTCATTCTAAAGCAGCAATTAGTTAGGAAGAATTTCAGGATAAGATAATAAAGAAGTATTTAAGTTTATAAAGTATGCCTGGGTGCTGGATCCTATGAAAATTTTCAAATGCTATTGCTTTTTTTTATCAGAATGCTAAAACTGTGGCTGTGTATTACTGCAGAATATAAAAAAATAGCCTGCCAAAGTACAATTAATCTTAATAGTAATTTGTGGTGATTATTGACCGTTAGTCGATGATTATTCAAAAATCATGAGATGCGGTCTGGTGTGATATAGGTTTCAGAAAAACATTTTCTTTATCGTGCCAACGTTTAAATCTTTATTGAGATCATCTTCAACACACACTTTGAGTGCTGAAGATGATCTCAATAAAAATCGAAACTTTGGCACGATAAAGAAAACGTTTTTCTGAAACCTACATCACACCAGACCGCATCTCACGATTTTTGAATAATCTTAATAGTAATGATTGAAAATCATCATCATGAATTCATTAAGCAAATTTTTCCTGTAATCTTTATTAGGATAGAATGAAACACGTTCACTTAAAAAAAACACATGTATTTACTATATCAAAAATCAAACTTTGAAACAAAAATTAAACATTGCCCTTTAATTGGTACAGAAATGATTCTTACTTACGATCACAATATATTATACTTTTTGCAAATCTATTGCACAAAAGTTAAATTAAATAAAGGGCTCAGAGCCCCAACTTTTTCAATACACAGTATTGTAGCATAAAATTAATTGGGAAGTGAAGAAAGTTTTTTTTCTCTCTCTCTCTCTCTATTTTAAATAGAAAAATATAGTTAAATTAAATAAATATACAACACCACTACCTATAAAAAGTATTTAGTAACTTTGTTAATTATTTTAAAAATGTAAAATTTATTTTCATTCAACAATGTAACAGCAGATTTCAAATTGTTAGACTATGCATATTTTATAACATAGGAACAATTTCAAAAATGGAAGGAATATAAGCTATAAGATGTCACATTAAAAAAATACTCAAATTTTAAAAAGAACGTATTAATTGTTTAAAGTTTAATTTCACATTTATAAATAGATATTTATTATTTTATATTTGGGACGATTTTATCTATACAAAAAGATTTTAAAAATATAACAACCACACTTAAAAATATACAATTTGATACATGTTATCCTTGGACAAATGAAGGATTTTAATATAACAATTTCCATTTATTAACACAATATTCTTCAATATGAAGATGTTTGGCTCTTTAACATTAAGAAAGGACATTCTTACTTTTTCATTAAAGAGATTTAAAAACAATAATCGGTTTAAAAAAATTTGCAAAATCTGGAGAATTTTACAGAAAACAAAATAGCCAAACATTTGTTCAGAACAGAAAAAAATTAATTAGAACATATTTTGAAAACAGATATTTGATTGTGTTATGTACAGAGGAACTGATTTTAAAAAACCAAAAAAACAAAAACTGGTAAAATATTGTTCCCTAGATTGTATAAAATTTTAAATGTTACCAGGGATCTTTGGAAAAGTTAGTTAAAAATGTTTTATGGAGTCCAGAAATTAGAAGTATCTAACACTGGAATGTTTGGAAATATTTATAATATTGTAAAATCCTACAATGTAATTAACAATAATTAATTACAAGAGTCAATACAAAATGTTTATGCGATAGTAATAAATATGAAAGACTGAATAAACTGTGAAAGAAATTGTCATTGCTTTGAGGGGAAAAGGGTCAAAATGGCAGCACAAATTTTCTGCGGGTTCGTCTCATTCGGATATAAACTCAACGCAGCTCTTACTTGTTCTTCGGGGAAAATTGATGCCAAATGGTAATGGAGTCTTCGTCTTGCCTCTTCGGTAGTTACAGGGGCTAACGGTGTCAGTACAGGCACTGCCCAGGCGTGCAATTGCGGTTCGCTCGTGGAACAGAGGGACGCTTGCAGGCCGATCGGAGGGCTGCCCTGATGAGGCGGAGGAGCTGATGAAATCCTAGTCACGCTGCTGTGCCCGCTGTGCTGATTGTAAGAATCACAGCTCAGGTGCCTTGTAACTCCCCTTCTAAGATCATACAGTCGTGGATCGCAGGTCGGGTTTAACGTCAATTGACGTTGTAGCTTTTTATGAAGGTTCTGCCCTTGCATGTAGTTCGGCTGCGATGGAGCAACTCGATAACAATTCTCCATCAGTTCTTTTTCAGCACTACCTTGCACAATGTTGGATTTTGTTCTGGAGAGCGGTGTCTTTCTAATCTGTTTAGTCTCTGTGTCGCTGGACTGAAGTGGTAAACTGAGAGACTTCCCTTTCAATTGTTTACCTAAAATAAAAATTGAATTAATTTTTTGTAAGCTGGTCCCTGCTTAGAATACAATGTTAAAAAAAAGGACAAAAAAAAAAAAATTAGCTTAACCAAGCACACAAAAAACAATTATAAATTGGAAAGGGCAATGAATGAACATGTCCCTCAAGATCTGGGACACATAACTCTGCAATACTTGCACAGTACGTCAAATAAATAAAAAGAAAAGAAGGTGTAGAAGAATCGTAGCGAGTATCATCTGGGATAAGTTCCTTTGTTAATAGACTCGCCCCAGATTTAGAGTTGTGGCTGAGTTGTTGGATTAATTGAAATTTTGTTGTGGATGTGTATGTTACGCCCTGACTGATTTTAGGACTTCCTGTCAAAATTTTAGAAAAAGAAATCATTTTCGACGTTAGGAGTTGAAAAAATTCCTTTTTTTTTTTTTTTGTAAGGGGTACCTCTAACGGGGCAGGGACCATTGCCGACCTAGGAGAGAATGACGGAAGCTGTGTAGTAGGGTTGGACGCCTGAATTGGGAACTGAGATGGGGGCGGACGGGAGTAGGCAGGCAGAAGAAGACAAGGCGAGCGAGCGGTGAGAGACGAGATGAAAAAGAGAACAAAGGAGGAAAACTGGAGGAACGAGGGACATCCTTTTCTTTTTCCAGTATGGGGAACGGCTGTTCTCCTCCGGGAACAGGATACGCATCCGGGCAGGAGCTAGGAGGACAGACATCGAGACGAGGCGCTCCGGCAAAGTCCAACGTGTGGAGACAGTTAGTTTTTGTGTTTTAAAGCAATAGAAAGTGTTTTTTTTGTTAAGAATTTTTTTTTTGGAGAGGATGCTCCAATTATTGTAAATTTAATTTCGTTTGCGAGGCCTTCGCATAATAATTCTATTTAAATTAAATCGTAATTAACAGAATTTTGTTTTGTCTGAATTCAGATTGTTTCATTTTGTTATTACTTATTTATTTTCATTCTAGTTGTTTTGTTTCAATTTTTTTTCCGACCCCTGGCGAATGTCGGTCTACTGACTTTAATGATTGAATAAGGTGAACAGTCGGATACTAACAAGGCGCAGGGGAATCGCATTCGCTTTAAGACTAGAGGTCCATGGTTCGAGTTCAGTGTGCGGAATTCCCCCCCCCCCCTTTTTTTTTTTTTAGGGATTCACTATTTTCCCTGGATCAAAAAGTGTGGCGCCTGATTATAGTATTGGTTCCCCGGGAATCCCCCCTTCACCACTGAACGTCAGTCCGCAAGTTACTACCAAAGGTATCAAACAGGCCAATTGTACTAAAATAAATGTTGAAGAATATACTCTCTGATTTATAAAATTCTTGAACCTTACCTTCCCCTACACAAAAGAATACGTGCTTACAACAACAGAAAAATAGAAAAAAGCAAATGATTATAGAAAGATTATTTGGTCGTTGTGCCATCTCCCCACTTACAGTTTCATTATGAAGCTGTCCAGCAGGATGAAAAGGGCATATATTGCCACTTTCAATATTTTATATTAACTTGAAATTGAATTAATATAAAAAGATGGCTCCAAACCTGAACTAAGCCAGTTGGAAATGCAAAAGTTAGCCATCCTTGATATTACAGAGTTCCAAGAATAATATTTTTAAAAATGGTACTGTCACATATTTAGTAGGTTTAAACCTTACTAAATTCATAAATAAATTATGAAAAAAAAAATGCTACAAGCTAAGAACCTGTAACTTAATTATCTCTGATCATCCTGATCTGCCTATTCTAGCTGGCTGTGTTGTTAGATGATAGATAACTAAGATAATAATAATTTTAAAAAAATACTGCACAGATCAAAAAGAAGACGCTGAAGATTTAGATTTATTTTAATAGTTCCCAAATGGGAATTTTAAATTTTAGAAAATATTACCTGGGCTTGCTTCAATGCCTCTTGCTTGAAGCTGTCGCTGGGCATGCTCAACTAGCCTTTCCGTTACCGTTTTATGTGGAAGGGCTCCTCTTTCTGGATGCTGGAATTTACACTTGCTTCCGTAAGTGCACTTCTTCGCATAAGGACAAGGAGGCGGCGGTTCGGTGGACCTCATTCGCAAAAAATTGTCCAAATTAGGACCCGCCCGGCCAAGAGGATCATCGGGCGGCATAAATCTGAAAGAGCATTTACAAAATAAATTTAAATCGAACTTACAGATTATTTAACAAGTTTTGTACCTGTCGTTGACGAAAGAGTACATGAGAATGCGTTCCTCGATCACTTTCCTGAACTCGGGGCTTTCCTGGGCCAGGTCCCGGTAATTGTCGTTTGAAACGACTATGCCGCCGTTCTCTGCAGCCAGCCTGAGAATGTATCTGTCATCGTAACAAATCAATCTTTTCCCACCGACCAATCTCGAAGGGGTGAACACAAGCTGTCTATCTTTTTCCAATTCATATAAAACTTCTTGATCTGAAAAAAAAAAAAAAAAATTGGAAAACAACTTAAGCAACTCTAGCAACTTATTAATAGAAGTAAATTTTAAAAGTTAATCATAGAAAAAAATTATCTAATGTAATTTAAAGATAGAATAATTACCAGTTATTGGGTTGTCTGGACGTGAAGCTTCTTTCCTCCATTTTGGTACAAAGACGGTGATTTCTTTATGACCTCGTGCTTTAAACCAGTCGACACATAACTTAATCCCTCGACAAGAGAATACCTCTTTGTTTCCGTGACTAAAGAGAAATTTGAATAAGTTAAAGGAATGAAATTATTAACTTAATCGTAATTAGTGCTCACCTCATTGCTACATTGCTGCCATCAATTACGACAGGCCTGAGGCTCAGATCTTCCTGGATGTGAGACTCAGGGTTGGAAATTTCTTCATCGTCCCATTCTGAACTTCCATCACAGCCCAATGGCGGTGCATGAGCTCCAATTTTAATAAGCTCCTATAAATATAAATTTTAATTATATAATTTGATTCTAATAGTTTCTGAATATAATTAACTTACAGCAAGCAGTTCATTTTGACCCGGATTCGGCCCTAATTTCTGCAGCGCAGCTTGCACATGGCTTTCTGTATATCCGAGTTTAAGTGCGAACTCTAACTTTGCTGTATAGCCATGGTCTGTCGATACATATTCATCGAATTCGGCCGCTAAGGTATCTGAGGTGGTACGTGATACGTCCGGGTGACCGCCTGTGCCCACAGCACCCTCGTCCCCTTCATAATCCGAGTCGTAGCTGGAATCTTCACCACCGGCTTCTTTTTCTTTGACAATTCTTCCATTACTTGATAATGATTCGATGTATTTCTGCAATAAAATAATTTAACATAAATGACTGTAATCAATCAAATCACTGTAAAAATCAATCAGTCAAAGGATAAAGCGTTTTCTACATCTTGATAAACGAATTTTGATCAACAAAGTTTTATTAAATTTGTCTGAATAACAGACGGTTCAATTGGTCCTTTGATTGTCAGTGATCATTTTGGTCTGCAAATTCTGCATATCCTCACTGGTTTGGTCAGATGCAATTTGAAGAGGATAAGCAGGCCAAAATGATTCATCACCCAGCAGATTCAGAAGAAATAACAAATTGTCAAATCTGATTACTACGTGAAATCCACTACTGAGGTAAAAAAAGTGGTCCATATAATTTATTAATTTTAAACAATGATGTCAATTAAACAAGATTTATTTCTTATATTACCCATGATTGTTCTATAGATGAAGGATATTAAAAATGTTGATGGTTTTATTTTTTGTTTATTTCAACAGCCACAAAAAAAGTTTAATAATATCACTTTAACCACATAAAAATAAAATCATGATGAAGGGTATTAAAGATTCCAAGAAATTAATGGGGAAGTTTTTATTTTTTTGACGTTTCAGGCTAATAGTCATTCTTCAACACCCAAACAGGCTAATTATTGCTTAGCACTCCTTAGAAACTCACTCCAGCTTGGCTGAAAGATGATTGAGTTAAAATTTGTCAGAAGGAATGTCCGTTAATTTATGGGGTGCTAAGCAGGAATTAGCCCATTAGGGCTTTTGACGATTAGCCATTAGCCCAAAACATCAAGAAAATAAAAACAACCTCATGGATTTCTTGGATGTTTTAGTACCCTCTATCCGGTTTTTATTTTTATGTGGTTTGGATGATACTATTAAGCTTTTTCTAAACATTTACTTGAGCTACAATAGGCGCTAAGAATAATACGGAGGAGGAATTTGGAGAATGTCTCCAAAGAAAAAGACAACAAAAATTTTAAAAATTAACTTTTATTTTTACGTATTTAAGACATTTGATTTGGCCCTATAATATAGCTGTGTTATCTAATTTATTAGTCAAGATATCAGAGTTTTTATCTTCTTTAAAATTACCCATCTATGGGTAACATCATGTTAAAATATTTAAGAACGATGTGGAAATAAATGAAATTTCAAGATTCAAATGGTATGAAAGTCATATTTTTATTTAATTAATAGAATTTATTTAAAAACTATTTAATTAAAAAAAATCATAAATTTTTTATTTTTATGTGGTTTAGGTGATATTATTAAGTTTTTTTTAAACATTTACTTGAGGTACAACAGACAAGAGCAACAGGCAAGCATTATTGAGAATAATACTCAGGAGGAGTTTGGAGAATGCCTCGAAATGTCACCCAAACCAAGTGAAAAAGACAACAAAAATTGTAAAAATTAACTTTTATTTTTACATATTTAAGACATTTTATTTGCCCTATAATATAGATGTGTTATCTAATTTATTAGTCAAGATTTCAAAGTTTTTATCTTCTTTAAATTTACCCATCTATCATGTTAAAATATTTAAGAATGATGCAGAAAGAAATGAAATTTCAAGTATGGTATGAAAATCATATTTTTATTTAACAATAGAATTTATTTAAAAAAGTATTTAATTTAAAAAAAGATCATCAAAATTTTATTTTTATGTGGTTTAAGTGATATTATTAAGCTTTTTTTAAACATTTACTTGAGCTACAATAGGTGTTGAGAAAAATATGGAGGAGGAATTTGGAGAATGCCTCGAAATGTCACCCAAACCATGTGAAAAAGGCAAAAAAAAAAAAACTTAAAAATTAACTTTTATTTTTATGTATTTAAGACATTTTATTAGACCCTATAATACAGCTATGTTATCTAAGTTGTTAGTCATGATACCAAAGTTTTTATCTTTTAATTTACATCGCATTAAAATATTTACGAACGATGTGGAAATAAATGAAATTTCAAGATTGAAATCACATGAAAATCATAATTTTATTTCATTAAAAAAACTTATTTAAAAAGTAATTATTTAAAAAAAAAGTTCATCAAGATTTTATTATCATATGGGTTAGTTGATATTATTATTATTTTTTTTAAACATTTACTCGGGCTACAACAGGCGACTGTTGTGAAAAATACTGATTAGGAGTTGGGAGAAAATATTTAAGAACGATGCTGAAATGAATTGAATAAATGGAAATAGGTTGAAATGGCCTAAAAATCATAATTTTATTTACTTAATACAATTTATTTACAAAAAAGTATTTAATTAAAAAGAAGGATAAAGGAGTTAAATTGTTTAATGTATAAAGATACTGTTTTTTTATTTTTATTTTATTTATTTATTTATTTATTTTTATGAGGGTTCGCAACAGCAGAGGTCATATAAACCCTCAGGGTGCTGGTGTTTTTTGGGGGAAAAAATGTAAGTATGTCGGGTTCGAATGCAGGGCCACCGGATTTGAACCCGGGACCTTTACCTTACGGTTATGAGCGCAGTGTCAACGTCTAAAATGTTGTGGCCACCAACGCCCCTAATTCAGCTTTTAATTAATAAAAATGCACTGAAATTATGACTGATATATTTTTTGCGATTTTATCAACCTTTATGTACACAATGCTGGTTTTTTTTTAAAGTTTATATTAGAAATTTTTTCTTATAGTAATATTTTTTTAATTAATGACTAAATTGCATGGTAAAAAACAGTAATATGTAGCAATAAGATCTAATGTCGAAATAAAACCAGTGCTTAAAAGTTAATTGCTATAATCGAAAAGCAATCAAATCAGATAAAAAAGTATACAAAATTGACTTGGCGTCTTCCTCGTTTACTTTTAAGCATTCCGATTAACTTATAGGGAAGATGAAATTAAAAGACCTTCAAGTCTAGCAGCTTTAGATTTCCTCTTCCAAATAAATCGTTAAGTTTAATTTTCGATTGGGTTAATTACGAAAAAACATCAGGGCCAAGACAATATTTTGCATACATATATTTATTTGAACAATATGATTTGTTAATTTTTTTTTTAAATAAATCTTTTTTCTCTCCATATTTCGTGCTTAGTAATTGCAAAGGTCAAAGAAGCAGGATCCAACGGCCTACACCACCAGATCATGACTCTGTACAATTGGCAATTTAAATTGAACCACCTCCCGACTTGAAAGCGATTCCTGATCTATAATAAATCCATCGACGTCCTGGATGTGGAGTAGATTTAGTTTGAATATAATTATAATTCTTTTGTGTTATGGCCCAGGAGGATTTTTACTTTCTCTGGTTACCTTGTGAAACCCTCGTTAATTAGAATTCTGAGGGCTTGAGAACCGCCCGCTTTCTAAGCGTCCTTCGCCCCAACAGCCGGATCTCTCCCGATCGTTTCACAAACTCTCATCTGTTTGTATCGCGTCGAAAAATTTATAAAATACCTTGAAGTACGGGGAGGAAGGAGGAACGGAAGTTTAAAATTTATTTTTATCTCGCTATCCTGAATTTTAAATAACCTATTTTGTACCAAACGACACACTTGAAATGCAGTGGATATGTCCTACAACTCAACTTTTAACTCTGAAAAAACACCCACTATAAGTGGCTATTTATTGTTTCATTACGTCAAAATGAACGCAAGATGTTTAGAATTTCAAACGTTGTATTACATAATTAAACATCATCAATGATCTCAAACCGAAAACAAAATACACGAGAACCGAAACCAGTGAAAGTTAACCTGAAGAAGATTCCGTTGAAGCGTTGAGCAACGAGCACACACACCCTGTCCGTTCCAATACTTTGTTCTGCAGTTTTCCAACAAATCTTGGACATAGTACTATACAGTTTTTCCAAGATCTTTGCAAAAAACGATAGATAGATCATAGAGATAGAGAGAGGGATAGGAGAGAGAGGATGGGAGAGGGTGGGAGGTAGAATAAGAAAGAAAGAAAGGAGTGAGAGTGTGTATGACATAGATAGAGGGGAGGAAGCAGATTTGTAGTTTTGTGCAAAATATCTTAGCTTTAAATACACATTTTGTAAGTGGAGAGATAAAAATAGAAAATCTGACAGATAAACAAAGAGAGTGATGGATTGATTGAACATTTTATTGCAGCTTACAAAATTGGGTCTCTTGGAACGTTTTTACATTTTGAGAGAAAGAAAGAAAGAGAGAGAGCAAGAGAGAAGGAGAGAGAGAGAGAAAGAGAGAGAGAGAGAGAGAGAGAGAAAGAGAGAGAGAGAGAGAGAGTGAGAGAGAGAAAGAAAGAGAGAGCGAGAAGTGGAGGGAGAGAGAGAATGAGGGAGAAAGAGAGAGAGAGAAAGAGAGAGAGAAAGAGAGAGGAAAAGAGAGAATAAGGGAGAGAGAGAGAGAGAAAGAGCCTTAAATATAACTGGTGGATTTCAACCAATACCTTACATAAAAAGGTTAATTAATTGAACTAATTATTTGGTCAATCAGACCATGAAATATAAATTTTATTACTAGAGAGATAGAGATAGATAAATAGACAGACAGAAAAAGAGAGTGATGGATTGATTGAACATTTTCTTGCAGCTCGCAAAATTAGGTCTCTTGGAAAGTTTGTACATTTTGAGAGAAAGAAAGAAAGAAAGAAAGAAAGAAAGAAAGAAAGAAAGAAAGAGAGAAAAAAAGAAAGAAAGAAAAAAAGAAAGAGAGAAAGAAAGAGAGAGAGAGAGAGAGTAAGGGAGTAGGAGAGAATGTAAGAGAGAAAGAGAAAGAGAAAAAGAGAGAGAGTAAGGGAGTACGACAGAAAAAGAAAGTAAGAAAAAAGAGTGTGAGAGAGTAAGAGNGAGAGAGAGAGAGAGAGTGAGAGAGAGAGAGAGAGTGAGAGAGAGAGAGAGAGTGAGAGAGAGAAGCAGATTTCTAGTCTTATGCCAAATATCTTAGCTTTAAATATGAATTTTATAACTCACATTAAAAACTCATAAAGTAAACATAAAATCAACACAGGAACGCATAAAATAATATCCCCGTATTCAGAAACAACACTAATTTTTATTAAC